ATCATCCTCAGGGCTAGAAGGCACGAAGTGCCTGGAAGCCCCACTCCCTTTTTTTTTTTTTTTTTTTTTTTCTTTTTTTCAAGTTTGTATGCTTTACCTTCTTTAAGGTTTGAAAACCTTCTGTCAAAATTTTCTTTGACTGCTAACAAACCTTCTATGTCTAAGTCTTCAAAAGTTGCACCACTTTTTCTAACAACAGCAAACTTAACTGGTGCAATGTTCCAAATTTTGTCAAATGTAGACTTTTCAAAATTGTAGAAGTAAACATTCAAATATGCGAATGGAGCTAACTTATCTTTGACTTCTGTCATGTACTTATTTACTGAGATGAATTTCGTCATCTTTTCTATCGGATAAAAAAATATTTTTTTAAAATTTACTCAGAAAAATTTTTCTTTGTATATACACCATTCTGAACATCTAAAAGACTTTTGACATTTGCCAAGAATGTACGTTTAGAAGCTGCCATATAACCATATTCTTGACAATATTGTTTATACGAATCGTACAATGACCTTTCATCTAATGACACAAAGTTAGTCTCATCTATAAACAGTTCATATACACTCTTGTTTGCTTCTAACAATGTTTGTCTCTCTTCGGTATGTGGAATTTGTCTTGGATTGAACTTTGAAATATCTAATGTCATAAAATATGAGAACAAGTGGTTGTAAAAGTCAGATGTCAAAGTTTCTGCTAAGTCGTCAAAATATTCTGTATCTTGCATATGAGAATCTGACGTTCTGACAACTACATATCTTCTGTCAGAACTTTCTAACTTCATCGGAACAACATTGTTTGAAACCATAATGAAGTTTGCAACATTTTCACAAACTCTTTGGTCTTTATATTTTCTTTCAACAACTCCAACTTTGTCTGTTATAAGACTCTTCAAAGCATCTGAGTTCAAAACTTTTGTTGTATCTATACTTTGAAGTTCGTTACATACTATAAGTTTCATATTCTCTATTGAAGAGTTAAATTTACCGCAGATGTTTTCTAAGTTTGTCATATTCGGGTTCGAATAGCCCTCTAACAGTTTGCATAAGATATCTGTAAAGAATGTGTTCTTACCTGTTCCTTGTTTTCCAATTATAATGAGAGCAGTTTCATTTTTAGCACTTGGATGTTGTAAGATGTTTGCAAACCAACATAAGATATACTCATAGACTCTTTCGTTTCCATTGCATATAATTTCTTTGACATGGTCTAACCAAGCTTCTATAATATTTTCTTTCCATTCTACTTGTTCATATTTATATCCAGTGAAGATAGAATAGAAGTTTGGAGAAGGTGTATAAAACTTTATACCACGAACTGAAAAATCTTCAAGTTTTGACAATAAGATATCCCAAGCATCTAACATCTTCATGCCAACTTGTACGACTTTTATTTTCTTAAGTTTCTGTCTACATTCTTGTTCAGACACAATTGTCGCTCTTGGTTTGTTAAAGACAACATCCCATTCTTTCATAACATAACATTCTGGGGCAGAGTCAACATAAATGACTAAACGTTTCAAATTCTCGACTGCTTTGTTATAGTCTCTAAATGGACACATATTTCTGAATGCTTGGAAGTCATAAAAATCTGAAACATCTATTCTGTACATTTTTATAAAAATAAAAAAAATATTATTTTTTTATTCTTGACTTTGTTGTTGCATTTGTTGCATTTGTTGTTCTTGAGCTATTTGTTGTTGAAGTTGTTCTTGTAGTACAATACTTTCACCAGTTGCATCTTCCAATTCGAAACTTTCTGCCGTCATTGACAAATACATAGGACATAAAAGTTTTACAGGAACAAAGTTTGCGTCAACTAATGTCAACGTTATACTTGCCAATGTGTTTGAGTTCACTAAGGTTGAAAATTCTGCATTCGAATGAACAATAGGCAAACCAGCAGAGAAAGTATTGTTTATACGCATAAGTATCTTTTGGTCATAATAGTTTCTGTCGACATTCGAATAACACTTTGAACCTAAGTTTGAAACAATATATAAGATTGGTGTGCTTAATGTCAATGGAATAGACATTCCTTGTATGACACCTTTTCCTGTTATAGGAAACTGTTGGTAGTAAAAACCAGAAATAAGTTTTGTATTATAGCTCATATCGTTTATAGTAAACTCAGTCGGACATCCAAACATAATGAAACCTGCTCTAGTTGCAGCACATGTTACATCCGTCCTTAAAGTATTAAATAAGTCAACAAAACCTGTTGGTGGTATATCTGAGTAAGTATCTTCAAAGAAGTATTTTTTACCATTCACAACAACAAAGTCTTCTGGTGTCAAAAGAGCAAAACAGGCTTTAGTCGTCATCGTGTTTAAAGTTAGTTTACAATATCGTCCTTGAGGACTTTGTAAGTTTGTTGTTATAGAATTATATGACTCAGGGTTTTTAGTCGTAATAGTATAAACCACTATGTCTTCTGCCATTTACTTAGCAAGTAAATTTTAATGAAATGTTGTGGTCGTCAAATATTTTTATGACGTCTGGGAAACTATATTTTAAGTTCAACGTTTCACCTCCTTTCATAACGTATATCTTGTCAATGACATTATATGAAACACCACAGCAAGCAATGTCAGGTTCTATTTCTTTGATGTTTATATCGTCTGCCTCTGTCAAAAGTTTCAATAGTTCTTTCAAAATTTCATGAGGTGCGATGACATATGAGTTCACTTTTACAGGGTTGTGCTCAACCAAGTTTAACATTATACCCAAAGCTTGACAAATCTTCTCCTGAGTTTTAAGTTTGTCTTTAAGTTGTTGGTAGTCATTTCGAATATCTGCAACAGAACTTAAGTCTCTGCTAACTTCAGGGTATGTTGGTTGTTCTTTTACAGGAACTATTGTTATATCATCTTGGTCTTCGTATGGTTTCCCCACTTCAACATCTCTTTCTTTGACATTGACAACAACACTTTGACTGTTTGTTTGAGTTGGTGAATTTAACTTCACATCTGCCACCGCCATTAAACCTTTTGAAACACTCACGCTTCTATTTTTCGGAAATGACATTTTACTTAGAATAAAAAGATGGACGTATTCGAGTATCTCTTTGAATTGAAGCAGAACAAAGTTTACACACACAAACAATACAAATACATTGACAGAATAGTTCTTTATACAAACAATGGTAAATGTTATAGAATAGCAGTCTTTGCTGAACCTAAATATTTTCATAAAGCAAAGAAAGTTGGTATAACCGAGATGGTGAAAGTTCTTGACGTTGACAAAAATATAACAACAAAACTTACAGATATTTCTAAAGGAAAGTTTATAATACAATATTATGTCAAAACTGGCGTACTGTCAATATTTGACGGAGAGAAGTCAGTTCAAGAACAACTTACTGACCTGCTGCCAAAATCTGCTCGATGGAAGCTGTCGTTATGCCAATCTGAGGAGCCCCAGCAGGTTTCATCGAACGAATCTTCAAAAGAGCATCTTCCGTGAAAAGTGCTATTGGTTTTGTAAACTTCTTTGCTTTCAATTCATCTGGACCGTCTCTGTCACCAGTATATTGTATTTGTACAGTACCAACAGTTGAAATACCACCCATAAAGTCTTCTGAGTCAGCAAATGGAATGCCAAGCCAAAAGTTTGAACGGTCTCCATTTGTATATTGAGTGTTTTGAGCTCCTGTATGGGTCCATACTTTCACATATGGCATAATAGAACTTTGCATTTCAGGGTTAATGGTTGTTGTGAAGTTGTTGTTAAAGTTCATAGCATCTAATGTCAAGTTGTATGACCTCATATCCTCAACTGTAGAATATTCTTCTCTTGGATAATATTTGCCATCTATGTTTATATGGTATTTAATACCAGGGTTGTAGAAGCAAGAATAGTCATTTATAGTTCGTCTGAACAGTACAAACATAGTATCTGCATGTTTCATTGCAGTTGTTAAAGCAATATCTGTTCTTGCACCTGCGGTTCCTGGATTTTGGTTTCCAACTTCACCTGCAAAGTCTTTGACAGATATTTGGTGTATAGGGAACATAAGTGGAACTGCAATATATTTGGCAGCTAAAGCATTTGAAATATCTGGGTCCAACATATAGACTGCAAGTCTGCTTTCTATTCTCTTGCATTCAAATTTTTCGCATGTGAACTTAACTGGGTCCCAAGCATCTCCAGCAGCATTGAAATAATAGTTTACTTCAGTGTTGAGGTTTGAGAAACCAAAGTCTAAGTCAACTTTGTTTTTGCAAAAGTCGGCGAATGACATTTTATTTGTTCCCACTACTTCTGTAAGAGTGAATGGGTCTTGTGTTGGTGCAATGACTAAGTTATTTTTGCTTGGAGTAAGTTCGATAGAAATTTTTCCTGCCCAGTTTGGCAAGTATCTTAAAAACCTGAAGATGAGGAAAGATGACAAAGGAACTCTAAGTTTCAATTTTACTTTAGTTACTGCTGCTGCAGTTTGTCCAGAAAGGTTAACATAAACTCCTGGAACGTTAGGGTCAAGTCTTCTTATTTTCTCAATGGTTGCATACTGGTCTGTTTGTTCTCTAGCTTGTGGTTGTACTGAGTTTCTCAAAGCGAACCATTCATAGTTTGCCCATGTTACTGTTTGAACTAAGTCAGAGTTAGAATATATCTTATATCCCATGAAAACTTCTGGAGCATATTGGTATCCGACATAGAAAATTCCATTGCAACCTTTCTTGTCAGACAACTTGGCAGAAGGTTTTATTTCAATGTCTTGTTCCACGTATAAGAATGAGTTGTCAATAGAAATAATATGAAACCTGTCGCAAGCAATATCTACTGTTGTTGAAGAACCTTCTCCAAACTCACCTACGTTTCCATAAGAAACAGCAGTTGTATATTCGTAAGTTCCAGGAACTATTTCTGACCTTCTAATGGCATTGTCGCATTCGTTATACCATTCGGAAACATTTCCATTCATAGCATCCAAAACTGTTGGCGTTATATTCTGAGCGGCGTACATTTCATATGAGTAAAAATATAGAATAGTTGGATTTATATGTCATAATAGAACCCACGTGGACCAAGCTTTACTTTCTTCCTGACTGAGTTTTTAACTCTTCTTTTTCCTTCATTGCCCTCTGCTTGAAGTTGTTGCATCTTTGCCTCATGTTCACCTAGTATGTTGTAAATTTCCCATGTCCTTTTTGCCTTTGGGCTCTGGTCGCCCATCTCAGGTAACCTATATCCTAGAAAGATTTTGTCATAGTTTGTATTTGAGTCGTCGCTTATTGTTTGCATGACTCTGTCCTGAGTTTCTGGTTCAAGCTCTTCAAACAGAGCCTGTCCATATGGAATAAGCTCGTTTCCAAATATATGTTTTTGTAGCCATTCTGGTTTTCTTTCCATGTTACCAACAATATCTTTTGTGAATGGGAAAGCTTTTACCCAATCTTTCAGTCTTGCGTCGTTTATTTCTGTAGTTGGTTTTATTTTGTCAAGGAACATGTTTTTCAATACTAACATTTCATTTGGTACTGTCCATTTGAGTTTTCTTAAATATTCATCCCTTCTCGGTTCATTGTCTGCAAAGTAAGTTTTTATGACATTTTGTAAACTTTCGTTTGCAAGGTCATGTACAATAGGTTCTCTTCCTTCGCTCTCCCTAACTTTCTTTCTAAACTCTTCACCAAATATACCATCTCTATGGTTCTGTGTAGTTCTTTGAGATAAATGTTCTAGAACGTCAGGTGTTATATTTCCATCAGCCATGTTCATTTCATACTGGTTCAAAATATCTGCATCTTTCATATCTTTCAATGGCATTAAAGCCGCGCTGAAAATACCAGCTACATCTGGTTCACCATTCACTTCCATTGCGTCTACAACTTCTTGGAATTGAGGTTGTAAGTTTATGAACCACCTATCTGGATTAGCTTTATGACCCCATCTCATTGTAGTTCCATCGTCTGCAGAAACAAAAGTAGGTTTGTTTCCATCTTGGCTAGGTTCTGAATGAACTTTAAACAATGTTTCATTTCTATATGTTTTCTTGAAATTTAACCTTTTATTTTCACCGAGTTCATCCGAAGATTGAACGTTAAATGCTCGTAAGTAAAAAGGGTTGTTGTATTTGTGTACATTTTTTTTCAGTACTTCCATTCTATGCTGAATATTTTCATCTGATGTTGGAGTCTTTTGTATGTCGGCAAACATTTTTCGATATTCTTCTACTATGTCAGCCGAATTTTTTTTAGACTCTTGGAAATATTCCATATTCTCCGCATACTCTTGTTGAGGGTCAAGATTTTTCGGCTGTTCCAAATCTTCATCTAGTTCTGTGAAGTTAGTTTCCAAAGGAGTGACTTGTTCGTTTCCTTCAGGCTCTTCTAGCTGTTGTTGCTGAACTATTTCTTCCATGTCTGGTTGTATCTGAACTATTTCTTCCTGTGGAGTTTCTTGTACCTCATCTGCTGGCATTTCATATATTCCGAGACCGTTTTTAACAAGTTCCCTATTTAAGTCATCTGCATTCATAAGCCTTTCTTCTTTCGTTCCGTCTCTATTTTTTACGCGTTTCATGAAGATAGTTGAATCATCATTTATCTCTGACATAAAATATCTCGGAGTAAATTCAGTCATGTCATTTGGACGATATGCTATTAAATCATATCCCTTAGCGAGCTTGTATTTTCCAGGTTTGAAATTATATCCGATTTTATGCTGAGCCATAAAGCTAAATAGGTTCGGGTCAGTATTTTCTTCCTTGAACTTTCTAATAGCTTCTTTATATCTGTCACTAAAGTCAATAGTATCTGGGTAACCATATTTTTCCTTTAGCATTTTTAAGAATTCTTGGTTTCCTTGTTCTCTACTTCTTTTATGTCCTTGCTCTGTTTGTGGTTGTGGTGCAGTGTTTTGAACTGTTGGTTGTGGTGCAGTGTTTTGAACTGTTGGTTGTGGTGCAGTGTTTTGAACTGTTGGTTGTTGTGCAGTGTTTTGAACTGTTGGTTGTTGTGTTGGTTTTGGTGCATGCCTGTGTCTGTGTCCATGTGACGATGTAAATGTTTTAGGTAGTCCTGGTGCAGGTGCTTCTCTTGGAGGGTTTGGTGGTATATAGGTTCCACTAGCTAGTATATAAGTTCCACCAGCTGGTATATAAGTTCCACCAGCTGGCACATATGTTCCATCTGCAGCATAGTGTCCTACCTGACTTTTCGTTCTTAAGAAAGCATTTACTAGGTCTGTTTTGGTCTGTTGTAACTCTTTTTCTTGACTTTCCACAACAGTTGCTCTAACGGCGTCATAGGCACTTTGAACTGCCTGTCTCGTTGCTGCATCTGTTATTTTCGTCATATTTTGTGCTACTTCTTTTAACTCTTTGTCGAAACCTTCAGACTTCAGTTTCTTTCCAGATGAGAAGTCGTTCACTTGTTTCACCTTACTATGAAGAGCTTCGAAGGCGTTCTTAAAGTCAGCATTTGTTAAAGCTTCATTTGAACTGTCTTCATCCGCTTGTATTTTTGTCCTTATTGACCCTATGAGTTGGGCTGCTTTAGCGTTGGCTTGGGCATCTAACCAGTCATTGTTAGCTTTTATATATTCTGCGCTTTTCATTGCCTTTTGCATGGCTGCGTCGTTATTTTTACTTTCTTGTGCTAAGTTTTCATACTGTACGGTTTGGTTCTGCAACTGTAAAAGTTTTTCTGCCTTTACATTTGCTTCAACTTCTTTTTTATACTCATCGCTATCCATATATGTCTTCAGGGCTTTTTGTTTTATCTCTTCATCTTTCAGTACTTTATATTGAGTAGTATGGTTTTTCAAATTTACAACATCTTGTTCCATTTTTGCTACTTCTGCTGCTTTTTCTGACACTTTTTTCGCATATTCCTCTGTACTTAGTTCTTTCAGTTGTTCTTCTTTCTTCTTTTTCTCTACGTTTAACTCATTGAGTTTCTTTGTGTGTCTGTCATATTCTAGTTTCTTTTCGTTTTCACTTATTTGCTTCTGTATGTCTATGTTTGACTTTTTGACATCTGCTATTTGATTTTTGAGTGAACTCAAATTCATTTGACTTTGAGGGTTATAGGCTGTTCCGTCTGCAGCTCCACCATAGCCTGCCATTTTCGCTAAAAGTGCCGCTCTTAAACCTCCACTCTGTGCACCAACAACTCGGTTTAAAAGCATAGGGTTGCTTGACATTTGTTGCAACATAGTGGGGTCATTCAGCATTTGTTGTTGCAACTGTTGTTGTGGTGTCAGTCTTACTATTGGATGTTTCAATGCTCTCTTCCTCTTATGTATATTCTTACGTAGCTTACGTGGCATTTTAAGTGAAGTTAAAAAGCGGCTTTTGACAGATGTTTATATGACACTTCTTCGTAAAGACTTTGTTGAGATTTCTTCGTAAATGACCCAAAAATAATGTTTATGTTAGAATGTTAGATCTAACATGTTTTCTAACACGTTTTCTAACATCGTAGAAAACATACAAAACTCATGAAATTTACACCCAAAAATAATGTTTATGTTAGAATGTTAGATCTAACACCTTTTCTAACATGTTTTCTAACCTCTTGAATTTTCATGAACTTTCTTGTCAATGTTTTGTTGAGACTTTGTAAAGTTCTTCATCGTAAAGACTTTGTAAAGTCTTTCTCATGAACTTTCTTGTCAATGTTTTGTTGAGACTTTGTAAAGTTCTTCATCGTAAAGACTTTGTAAAGAAAGTTCATGACAAATTCAAGAGGGTAGAAAAGAGGTTAGAAAAGAGGTTATATCTAACCTTCTACCCTAAACATTATTTTTGTCTGATTTTACGATGAAATCATGACAAAACATTTACGAAGAAGTCTTGACAAAACATATACGATGAAATTCATGAGTTTTCTACGATGTTAGAAAACATGTTAGAAAAGGTGTTAGATCTAACATTCTAACATAAACATTATTTTTTGGTCATTTACGCTCATTACGAAGAAGTCATGACAAAACATTTACGATGAAATTCATGAGTTTTCTACGATGTTAGAAAACATGTTAGAAAAGGTGTTAGATCTAACATTCTAACATAAACATTATTTTTTGGTCATTTACGCTCATTACGAAGAAGTCTTGACAAAACATTTACGATGAAATCATGACAAAACATTTACGAAGAAGAAGTCTTGACAAAACATTTACGAAGAAGTCTTGACAAAACATTTACGAAGAAGTCTTGACAAAACATTTACGAAGAAGAAGTCTTGACAAAACATTTACGAAGAAGAAGTCTTGACAAAACATGAAAACATATATAATGTTTTCGACCAAGAAGACTAACAATTTTCCGAATAAAAACTTCATTTATACTAAACATCTTCGGGGCTAGAGGGCACGAAGTGCCTGGAAGCCCCACTACCTTTTTTTTTTTTTTTTTTTTTTTTTTTAATTATCCGTACCTTAAATCTCCAACCGACATTCTCAATTTTAATCTGATTTTTAATAAAAATGATAAATATGTCAGACATATACTTCTAAGCATTATCTTCATGTTTTATTCAACGGTTTTGCCAAATTTGACGGAGTTAGGTTAATTATCAATTTTTTTAATGTTAGCATTACTATCTCATACCGAAATGGCTCACCAAAAAGGTGACATTTTTGGCGCCAATAATTTGATTTTTCTAATTCTTTCTATTTAGATATATTTATTTAATATTCATATTCCTTTATATTGCCTCATATTATTTCCCATTTTTAATCATATTATACAAATCTTTAATAATTTTTAATGTTTTGAGCTTCAAAATCTTGTTCTAACTATTTTCATTCATATATCCTAGAAAAAATTAAAAAGTTTTTTAGAAATAAAAATGTTTGTATGTAAAGTATTGAAAATATTCTAGATGAGAAGACATTCTCCAGAAGAGATTGATATTGATTGGCTTTGTGAAGCCATCACAAAATCAAATAATGGAGTTAAGTTAACTGATATTTGCGCGAAAGCTAAAATAAATCATGAAGGCAGAGTTATATATAATCATACTATCTTAAAGTATTCCTAGAAATTTCCAAAATTAACCGAAATATAACTGTACAGAATTACTATTTTCGAGATAAAATTCATATGGAAATACTAATTCATAACGCTTTATGTTATATAAAATTTAATTTATAAAAATTTCAAAATAAATCAAATTTAACACAATGAATATAACTGCAATCGAGGTTTTTGACGATTGATTCTTACGAGCAGTTTTCCAAACTTTGAGTTAATGTCTTGACATTAACTCAAAGTTTGGAAGTCTAATAAGGGGAATTGTAGGCTATGAGGTACTGATTATATATCAGTGCCTCATAGCCTGCAATTCCCATTAGAAATCGGAGAAACTTTGTCCGCATAACTTATGATGCGGACAAAGTTTCTCCCATTTCTACTTAGAATGAAAGGGCAAGAGGTATATAGGTACACTATATATCTCTTGCCCTTTCCTTCTTACCTAAAGACTTCCAATCTTATTTTTTTTTCCAATTTTTCCCCTAAATTTAAATCTTATATAATATAAATAAAATGCATAATATCAATCACAAAAATTAATGTTTATTTTTTTAATTAAAATTGCTGCGCAATTTAAGGTTTTCTGTCACTTTTTTGTTAGCCATTTCGGTACGAAACATAATGTTAGCATTACTTTTCGTTATTTCAGTCTCAGTTCGCGTCATAAGCCGACCTGAGTACTACGAAGAGAATGGTTGGCTCAAGAAGATTGGCAGAGGCATTTCCAGAGGCGTTAGAGGCATTGGACGTGGAATTAAAAGAGGTGTAAGAGCTGTCACAAAACCAATTGAAAAAGGAGTTAAATCAGTCGTAAGAACAGTTGATCGTTTCATTTATCATGCTTCTGAATCAATGTATGCTGATCCAATCAGAATCACAAAGATCACAAAGAACTTAAACCAAAAGAGATACACAACAACAAATCTTGAATCCCTCACTCAACAGGTTGCAAGAGATTTCAACCTCGACCCTAACAATGTTGCTCAATTCTTCAAGCGCTCCAAGTTCTCAAGGACCGCAAAGACACTCTTAAACAAGCTTCGCTTTGACAAGCTTGCTTCCATTGTTGACCGCACAGCACAACTCAACACAGCTGTCATTAAAACTACAAAGAACGGAAATACCTTCACAGTTAATGTTGCTGGTGGCGTTTCAGCTGCTTCCATCGTCGCAAACAACGTCTTTAAGAAGACAACAACACACTGGGGCCGCTCCCGCACTTCGACATCCAGAAATTGGCGCGCACTCACAGCCAGTGAAATCCAGTTCATCTTCTCAAAGGTTCAGGCTGAGATCCAAAACGACATGAACAGATTCAAGAATATTGAAATTTCATTTAAACAATAAAATATCACTTATTTTTTTATTAATAAAATAGTGATTTTACTAATATCTATAACTCCTTTAGTATATAAATCTTCAAAGAGAAATTGAAAATTATTAATTTTTATCAGTTTCATTGTAATTTTCCTACTATAAAACAGGGAGATAACATAATTAACATCAGATTCAACTTTGTATACTAATTATTAGTACAATTAGCCGAATTATCCATACAGAATGATCAGAACCCGGCAGATTTTGATCAAACTTTTCAATGATTGTAAAAATTAAATTAAATATTCTTGCATACGATACTTACAATAATTCCCACCTGACAACGAAGCTTTCAAAATTTATTTTGATTGAATTTCTTTTCAAAAATTTCAGAGGATACATCTGCCCAAAATGAATTTTACACCTTTAAATCAGACGCAGGAAACAATACAAGAGAGTCCTCCACACAAGTTAAGGAGGTACATCATCAGAGGGACACATGGAAACTATTTTATAGCCAAAGATTATGAAATTAAAACAGATGTTTCGAAAGAAGTGAAGAAATTCCTAAATGTTTTCTTCGGAGGCAAGACAATAGATAAGGACTGGACAAGAAAATATCCTGTGACGAGAATAAATAGAGTGAACATTGCCGAAGAATTAAAGGAATCTTTCATCATAGAGTTTAATGTTTGCGCAGCATTAAAACATACAGCACTTAACCCCGTATTAGATTATGTTATTGATACTAGAGATAATGAGAAAGCTGGCCTTTTCATCGTTTACAAGAATTCAGTGAGAGACTACTTTGATAATTACATTTCAAACTCTGTCGAATCTGCTGTTAACGATATAATAATGATTAAAATCCTTCTAGGAGTGATTTCTGCGCTAAGTTATCTTCATTCAAATGGAATCGTGGCAGGAGACCTCCGTCCAGGCACAATCTTCCTTAATTCTAGAATGGAACCATTACTCATCAATTACAACTTGCCACAACTCTACCCTTGCCCTCTCATTCCGTATGAAGTTAAAAAATCGGAATATTCAGCGCCAGAACTCGCTGATGAATACAAAATCACTGAGAAATCAGATGTGTTTTCGTTCGGTGTACTACTATCAAAGGTCTATTCGCGTTTAATGTATAATGAAAAGAACTTTTTGAAGAGATTGAAGAATCTTTACAAAGAATGCACTTCATTAGATCCATCTCAGCGGCCAAAATCACCACAAGTCGAAAAGATGCTCTTCGAAATTAACCAGCAGCTTCCTTATACATCACAACCTTTAACTGACTATTATTACAATATTATCAAGAGTTGCCCTGAATCAAAAACAAATCCAAGGCAGACTTTCCAATACAACGAGTATGCAGATAATATCATGGAATCTGTTGAGAAAAAGATAGATTCTTTGAAAAATATCGTTCCAAACAAAATTCTTGTGAAATGCAAGCAAAATATATACATGAGAGCATTACTTATAAGCTTAATTGAACGAAATACCGAAGCTGTTTGCATTTGGATCTTATCAAATTATAAAAATTTTAAAATGCAAGATATATACGAGATAATTGATGCAATCATCCAAACAACAGTTATATGTTACCAGAAAGTCGATATTTACGCTAAACTCGCAAAGAATTTGTACAAAACAAGTTTGCCGTCGAATAAACTTGGTTTTATACCAACAATCATTCTCCACAAACTCTTTACAATCTTTATGAAACATGATCCATATCCAAACTACATGCCTTACGTTTCTTTTCTTCATTCGATTTATCGGAGAAAAATTATCAATATCCATGAAGTTTTGCAGATGGTTAAAGACATTTATGAACAAGCACCATCTCCAACATTCGCTATTCCTCTTTATATCTGGTTCAACAAAGAAATTAAAGAAATTGATCCTGATTTTTCTCAGAAAATGATTGATTTGATTGAAAAAACTGATGTCAGACCAGTATTTAAATCGTTTATTTCAGGAGAAGGCGAAATCAGCCAACTTTCATCGATAATTATGGCTGATAACCACATTGCGTTCAAAAACTACATGACTGAGCATCCAGAAGCGATGCAACAAGTCATTAACCCAACAGTATTTGAAGTTTGTCCTTATGCTCAAGATAACATCTCTGTTCCAATGTATGTTTTGTTGTACAATGCAAATAAGATTTACACATACATTTCTTCAGCATCAAGGATCTACGAATGTGATAATGATACTATGATGCAGATGGCATTGATCGGAAATCATACTTCTTACCTTGAAAATCACAAATTAAATTTGAATTCTCAGAAAATTATGGAATATTCTGTAAAATTCCATAATTATACAGCTTTATTGCAAGAATATGAGAAAGGAATGAAGCCAGAAACTACTGAATGCGTTTTTTCTTCAATCAAATTTAATAATTTGATTTCTTTACTTCTTATTTTATCAATTTCGTCCAAAAATGGTGTAAATAAAGTTGTTAATGCAAAAGAGCATTTCGGAAAGACTTTGTTCCATGCTGCAGTTGAAAATGGAGATTATTTATTTTTGAGATTACTTTTATCAATTTCAAACATCAAACCATTTAAAAGAGATTCATGGGGAAGGAATTCTCTGCATTGGGCAGCAATATACGGATGTGATTCACCAGATAAATGGTCAACAAAGAACACAGTTAGATATCCATGGTGGTTTGGAGCTGATTCTGAAAAAATTACTGGTGAAAACATCAAAAATTTGAGTGACATGTTTCGGAGATACCAATTTCCAGGATCATTCGCAACGAAATTGCTGAGTACGCAGCAGGAAATTGATCCTTATTCTTCTTTCAAAGAAAATAAAGAAATACAAGAAAAGTTGTCAACAACTACTTCTAATTCTGAAATTTGGTCACCAAGTAATTTAACATTTAACAAGAGATTTGGATCACCACATCTAATGAAACTTTTGTTGAATTATAATTCGAAAAACATCAATGACAAAGATGAATACGGAATGACTCCATTGCATTATGCTGCTGAAAATGGAGGACTCAATGTTATGAAGGTTTTGTTCTCAAAAATTGGATTGGATCCAAATTTGAAGGACGAAAAAGGAAGAACTCCTCTTCATATCTGCGCAAAGAACGATGATGCTGATTGCTTTACATTTCTTCTGAAGTCGGGAAAAGTTAAACCTGAAATTGAGGACAATAAAAAGAGAACTGCTTATGAAGTTGCTGTTGCCAATAATTCTTTCAAAGTTCTCAATGCTGCAGAAGATCTAGCAACCAACGGTTGTCGCATCTAATTTATTTGTTTGTTAGTAAATATATTATTGTTTATATAATCTCCTTCTTAATGGACAATACATAAGATAAGGATTGAAAGACTGCTCTTCACATTGAAGCATATTAAAACTGTGCAGATAAATCATTCATGAACAACAGTGAGAGAGGGTCAAAGTTGCTATTTGTCACTTTTCCACAAGAATATAATGGGGAAAAAGTTATCATATAGTTGATCTCATTCACTGAGGTGAGAGATGCATGTAGTGTAATGTGATAAACAGTGGGATTGCTGCTCTAAGTCCTAGATTCGAGACACATTGGCTTCATTTTTCTCTTTTTTATTGACGTAAACTATTCAATTTTTGTGTTCTCCATTCAAATTTCAGAATTTTTTTTTGCAGATTTCACGCTACATTCGAAGTTACCTTTTGTAACAACCACCACTGCCTACGAAAGACGAAAGTGTGTCACGATTTCACCCGGAAATCCTACTCGAACAACAGTTTTTATAGAGGTTAAAAAACTTAATTATTTGAGAGGTGGGAGCATTATCAATGATTAAGCTGTAGATTGCTGAATCGTACTATCAAAAGTTAAGAATAAGTTGCTTTTGTAAGCTAATGAGAGATATTTTCAAATTATTTCGACAACTGAGTATTTATGAGGAATTGCTTCAATAATAGTATCTCTAAAGATCAGGTTACTATATGTTGCATGTGATGCCACATGTAACTAACTGAATGAATAGCCTGTTGTAATCAAACACTAAAAAATGGGTGTTATTTAACTAAAAATCCGCATTTATTTTCCATAGATATAAAATAAAATAAAACAAAAAAATTTCTAAAAAAAGTTAATCTTTCTGTACAGGAGTGAATTGCATCATTTCTATTGGTTGTAGTGAAGAGTTTCCATCGAAATCATCTATTTTAATAGGTTTTATCTTCTGAGCAATCATGAACTGGTTGTTTATGCTTTTAGACATCAAAGATTTGTTTTTCCCTTTTCTCGGAGATTTCGGTCTTCTTGGCTTTCCTTCGTTTGGCTCATCAGGAGGTTTGACTGGAGATTTAGGTTTTCCAGACTCATTTACTTCTTCTTCTTCCTCTTCAACCATTTCTTCCTCTTCAGGAGATTCGAGATTGTCGTAATTTAATTCGAATGGAGGTTCGTTGTCATTTTCTTCGTAGATTGGCTTGGCATAATAATTTGCATCACGTGGTTTCGGTGGAGTGAACCAATTTGGAAGAATAAATGATACTTTTGGTCGATTCGGGTTCTTTTGGTTTTCTTCTTTAAGTTTAGCTTCTTTCTTTGGTGAAATAGGTAATGGAGAGTCAGGTCTGTCGTTATTTTCTTTTGGAGACAGATTTGATTTCGGAACTATGTTTTTAAGGTCTTGGAGACTATCTCTAACACTTATTCCTTCCATATCTACCTCATACAGCTTATCTTCAACCTCTTTGTTCGATGTTTCAAAGATTTTTTCGTGATCATCTGATTTTGGCTTGATTCCCATTGGCAAAAGCTTAACAACAGGTTTAGCGAAGTTCTTTGAGTTAGACAGAGTATGCTTTGCTTGGTCTGATGTCTTTGGACGACCGTCAGATTGAGATATTAATCTTTCTTCAAGAAATTCGATCCTTCCTCTCAGTTCTGAATCATCATAACTCATGTCAACAAGGTTGTTATTAATTTTAGCTACTTTTTGTTGCGTTTGTTTGTAATTTATCTCAACATTATTTTCATATTCATCAATTCTGTTCATAATTGTCTCGAAGTAGCCTTTAAACTCATTGTTAACGATCTCTTTGACATTGGATAATTGTGAATCATTCGCTTTTTCGTTATTTGGAATTTCATTATTAGAAATTGCAGATTTTCTTGCATTTACCTCACCACATAAAGCTTCTTCCAATGATTTGAGCTGCTGACTGATAAAATCATGCATATTCGAAGAAGTTTGTATGAATTCGCTTTGAATTATATCCAAAGCTTGAGAATTATTAACAAAATACGTTTGAACTCGGTTTTTCAGATCAGTTGATGACAGATTTACCGCGTTATTCAACTGATTTATGTCATTATTCATAGAAATAATCGAATCTTGTATGGAACTGATACATGTAGAGACTTTTCCGAATGTATACGCTGTCTGTTTGTTCATGTTTTCCATCTGCTGCATGATATGGAGGTCTGAATCATAAGATTTTTGTGAAACATCCAAAATCATTCGATTTATTTGCTCTATTGATGAATTAATCGATTGTTCGATATTTGTTTGCCATTTTGTAAGCGCTATTATATCTTCTTCCATTGCTGATACGTTATTGTTATTTATTTGATTATTTTGACTGGAAGAAATTGCTTCTTGGTATTTATGATTTCGTTCTGACATTTCGCTACTCAAATATTTGATCTTAAGTGTATTTTCTTCTGTCTTTTGAGATAATTTTGTCATATTCATCTGTAATTCAGAGATTTTATCTCTAATTGTAGAAAATAAGTCATTAGAATTAGCATTACTTCTATTTAGTTTGGTGTTTAAGTTAGTAATAGCATCTTCTAATGGTTTTAGTTTCATTGGTAATTCGTAGTTTAAAATTCTATCAATTGAAGCTTGATTATTTTGACTGTTACTTGATTGGTAAGAAGGTGGTTGCGAATAATATGAATTATCAGGTTCTTCTCGTTCGTTTACGTGACGTCTTGGAGATTGAGCTCTTGGATCATCATCCATAAACGTTTTTGTAGCAAATGATTGATAATTCTTTGGTGGTGAATCATCAATAACACGATATGGAGAAGATACAGAATTCTGTCCATTTTGTCTTAAAACAGAAGGCTTTCCTTGTTCTTCAATTTGACGTTTAAGATCAGCTGCATATTGTGAACGTTGTTCTGCTCTTTTTTGCTCTAATCTTTCACCTTCTTGTCCAAAAAACATGATTATAATATTTGTGAAATCAAAAATTTTATGCCAATATCAATATATTAACATTCTGCTCTTAATAATCATTTTTATATTCTTGTTTATTTTCTATAAAATTTTTATGATCCCCCGTCAAATTTTGGATCACCCCCAAATACTGTGAGGATTTTTTTTGGGTCTCGGCAATAAAACAGACATCTATCATTGAAAGTATTTTCGCAAGCAAATTGATCCAATTCCTAAGCATACTCAGAATTTATTGGATTTATGATTGGAACAGACGATACCTGACCAAAAACAAATCATTACACTAATCATACTAAACTGAACAGAAAAGATCAGATGAAACTCCGAATTTATTTTTGTCAAAAAAATGTTTGTGAAGTTTTTGCTTTTTCTTGTTATTTTCTACGTAGCAATCAAAGTTCTTCGTATTGTAGCAGTCCGAAATGCCGAGAAAATACTCAAGAATCTCTTCAAAGAGGAATTCCATTTAATGCCGGGAAGTTCATTATTTTCTATCCAATCTCTTGTTGGCAAAGGCGAATATTTGGACATTACACTTAAAAATATGGAGTTCCACTTCAACATTTCTTCACTTTTCGGTCTCTCAAACACTCCAATTATCGATCTTCGCTTTGATTATTTGTATATCAACATACACAAGATCGTTATTACAAAAGAATCCGAACACAAGCCTGTAACTTTCGAAGCATGGGCTATGATAAATCTATTATTGATGCTCATTTTAAACATTTTCAGAAAATTCCAAGTCAATTTCAACAATTTCATCATTTCTTACATGGGATATAGTTTCTCCTTCCAAGAATTCCTTATTTTGTTCAAGAAACATCACAAAAGTATCGAATTTTCAATTAACATCCTTAATATCATTCTCAGACAGAAAGAAATTTTACTCAGAGTTCCATTACTCAAATTCGATGTCTATCTTACATCATTTACCCTCAAGAGTCTTGTTTCTTCATTATTGAACGATTTGAAGGTGAAAATACCAACACTCGAGCTTGAACTTAACTCAGGCATGCTTGATCTCAAAGTTTCCCAGATAACTGCCACGTCACTTTCGAATAATTACGCAGATTTTACAATTGCATTAGCTCCAATCAAGTCAATAGCACCAGCAACGTCATCTATGATCAAAAACCTACACGCCACTGTCAATTCCGTTGAAATTACCCCAGAAAATGTCAAAGTTGGTGGAATTTCTGTTCATGAGAACGCAGAAGAGATCATTAGCATACCATCGATCGAGCTAAACGACAAAGACTTGATCATTCCAACGATCAAAGCCGATCTCAGTACTCCTCTTATCATAGATCTCGTAAGTTTTGTTCCATTACTTCCGAAAAAGCCATTAGACCCCTGGAACCCCGACGAAATAAAGATTCCGATCAATGTAAGGCTCATGGATGCATCGGTAAGGTTCAATTTAAGCGACGAACACGTTTTTGATTTCGAAGTCACAAAAGTGTTCACTTCACGTATTACTAATTCTGTGATAATTAGCAAGGCCGATATGTTCCCAGTAGTAAACAACAAACGAATTCATATGGTTTCGGCTTCAAAAGTGAAAATTTTATTATTCAACGAGAATCATTTCAAGATCGGCTGCAAATCAGCAACAGTCAACCTCTACTGCGATTTCAACTTCTTGAACTACATCAAATCCGCAGCTTTGGTCTTGAAATACGTTGTAAATACATTAAAGGGTCCAAACCACAAAGTAAACCCAGAGGAACCTCCTACACCATTCGATATCCAGGCAAAGGTCAAGTACGTGGTCTTTAATATGATGAAAAGACCACTAATTGACACAATCGAGAGATCCAACGAGTCAAAGAGGGTCGCAATGGAAGGATTGTTACTCAGACAGCACAAGGCAACACAGATCATCAGAGCTTCTGGCGTAAATCACATTAATCTGGAGAATTTCGAGACAAAGTCCAAAGAATTACTTTGGAAATTGTTCAGACAAACAGTAGATATCGCCGAATCCGAAGACCGTTATCTTTGGGCTGAAATTTCCAATGTTAATTTCCATTTCGACGGATTGAAGTTTAAGAACGTCGAATCAACCTTCAGAGCCTTAGAAAATATTTATCCGACCGCGAACTTCTCCGAAATCGGCATAATGGACGGCGGATACATGTCTGCAACTGTTGAAACAATTGACGCTTATATTTCTAGGTTTGGAAAGATCGCTCATATCAAGAACTTTACTGGTAATGGTTTCCTTATCATTGCTCCTCCAAATTACAACAAAACCCATCAACTTGTAAATTATGTTATAACATTTGCGAACAAATCGATCCAAATCGAAATACCAGATTGCGCTGATGCACCAGCGATCGCAATGAAAGGCACAGCCCATATAAATACGGTTGAATCTTATATCTCATCTCCAATGCTGGAATTTATCAACGATATCGACTTCGCCATCTCAGATGCCTTCTACAAGATTCCTAAACATAAAGATATTTTAGGTTTCGATGCTTTAAGGCTCATTTTCCATTGTATGGGCGCAATTTCAATAGATCATATTGTATTGCAAGCCCATGATTTTGCTCATCCTTATTTCAAGACTCCGAACCTCGAAGTTACGATTCCTGGCGTTAATTTCGGTTATAATGGAGATGCGTTCAATATCGAGATGGGATCGATAGTCGTTGATTATCTTGGCGAAGGCTTCCCACAAAGGTTCTTAAAACTCCCTCCTTCCAAGATATTAATGCGTTTCGCATCTGTCAATGCAAAAGGCACGAAGAATACGACCGCTCCCTTATTCTTCAACATTGACACGACCAGATTATTGGATTACAAGTACGATCCATTCGAAAAATACAGAACATCTTCATTTAGTTTTGAATTTGACGTCGATTTCACAATTACAAACGAAATGGGCACTTTCAACTTCGACTACGTCCAGCCTCTCATTGATTCGTACGCTAAAAACCTCAATCTCTTCCCAATCGCCGTCAAATTTACCGAAAAACCGAATTACTACATGCAGTTCTCCAAAGCGGCTGCAAACGTCAAATTCCCTCAGTTCTCTATCACAATGCTGAAAAGAGATATTTCTATCGTTCTGTTACCTTTTCAAACCGAACTTGGTGTCACTTTAGAAAAAGTGCCAAAATTTGACATTTTTTTACCTAAGATTGATGCGATTTTCACACAATTTGGACTGAATGCCGGTGTTCTTACTGTGCAAGGCGTTTTGATGCGACTTGAAGACAAAGAAATGAACTTAACAGTTGACCAAATAACGTGTGACATTCGACCAACAGTTTTGACAAGTTTACTTCAACTGAAACTTGATGTTCCCAAGGCGAAAGAAGAGAATCCTATCAAAGTACCTAAGAAGATTGATTTGTCCAATGTCGATGAGTTCTCAAGAGTTTCAAACAAGACACAATTCAACATAAAGAAAGTCATTTTGCATCTTTTGTTGGAAGAAAGTCATTTCCCTCCTACAGCGGAATTCACGAATTTCTCATTCGGAATTTTGGTGAACAACAACAATGAAGGTGTCATGCTTCTTGAATTCGAACAGTTCCTTATCTGTACATCACCTTTCATGGACCATCCTTTGATGCAATCGAACAACCTCAGACTGTTCTTCGCCGTCGATGAACAAAATGTCAGTTTGTTCCTCCAAATGAATGGTTCAGCAGAATGTTCGTTGTGTCCTCAAGATTTCCATGTCATTATGCCGCAGGTGAAGATGCTTTTGCCTACAGCTATGGCGTTATCAAGGGGATCAGCAAACAACAAACAAAAAGACAAACAGCAATTGCCAATTGCTTTGTCTTTGGTTTTGTCAATCGAACACTCAATTATTTTCAATATGATGAAAAGTGACAATTCTACATTATGTATGATGATTGCTACTGGATTAGACTTTACGCATATCAAAGGACAGGATGGTAGTGAAGACACGAAATTTAAGCTCACGAACTTGCAAGTGACAGATGAAACAACTAAAGATGGATTCCATGAAGTGTTTAATTCCATTCCGAGTGACAAAGAACAATTTAAGATGACAATTTTGAAGAGAAAAGATACAATGAAATGCCCTGTTTACAACGCTATTTCGTTCCAAATGCAGCCATTCGTGTTGAGAATATCATTGAGGTTCATCGATGATCTAATCAAGTTGTATCCATCAATGTCTGATTTCAACATCTTCGATTTCGATCAGCAAGAATTTTCTGAGGCAGAAAAGGAAAGAGAAAAAGGTGACAAAGGGAAGTCCCTCATTTTAACCGCTCCTGTTGATGAAAATTCCGATCAGATTTTGGGTTTCTACAGGAAGATTGTCATCGAACCGTTCGGAGCTTCAATGAGCTACCAGGGATACCCAGAATCTTTCATTCACGAGCTCCACGACTGGCAAGTTAATATTTCTAAGATTGAATTGCAAGATTTGTTCGGAACCAAGGAACAACTAAGAAAGATCGTGTTGAGAGAACTTAAGTGGGTCTTAATCAAGACTTTGACAAAGATGGCTTTAAGAATGAAATAATTTTGTAATAAAATAAACTTAATATTTTTTATTTTTCGAATTCACACATAATGAGTTTTATAAAATAGTAATTTATTTTAAAAGATTCATTTTTTTTAATAAAAATTAAAATATTCAGAAGTCAGGAATATGAATTATTTAATGTATATTAAAATCAATTAACAAATCCAAACTAATCGTATTATAATTGAAAATGATTTTTTTTTTATATAACGAAATGAGATTAAATTGTTTCAGTAAATTGCAAATTAAATCGAGATATGAAAATTCACTGCAGGCAAGCCCAATAGATTTTGCGTCATATTTATTTGATATAATATAACTGGCTTTTGAAGATATTCTTTCGAAAAAATCGTTAGTCATTGCTATAGTATATGAATTTTTCTCATTAATTTTAAATTTTGATCGCTGCATTTTAAAAATATTATTCTAGTAGTAACAATATTCAAATTTGAAAATGTGATTACAATCTTTTCGAGTAATGATTCTGATTCAGTTAATGTTGTCCGATAACCGCACGATGAGCAAGTTTTGATGACAAAAAACGTTTTCAAATTCAAATTTTTCTAACGAGCTTAATGGACAGATGTTTAAAATTTCAAAACATGTTTTATATGTGCAAATTCAAAAGTAAAAATCTGTAGTCAATTCAAAAAATAAAGTGTTTTCAATATATTTAATTTATTTTACGCTTCAGATTTATACTTTTTAGAAAAGTATTAATGACAATAATACGACAAAATTTTAAGAAGATTATTCCTGCACGTAAAATTTCATAAAAACACTCCTCAAAATTGAAAAAAACCTCTTTTTACGTCGTACTTTTGAAAGAAAAAATTTTTGATGCGTTAAAAATAAGATCCAATATTTAAAACATATGATATCCTATTAATTTAAACATCAATTCAATCACTTTGAAAAACAATTCACCAGTTTTGATTCATAGCTTACAAAATAATGTTAATTAACTGCTTGAGCAATATTAAACAAACTATACCAGATATAAATTTTTTATTTAAAAACATATATTTTATATTGATACGAACATTTGAGAAGATCAATAAATAACGAAGCAATTGGCTTTACATAATACAACAAAAGGGAATGAACACAAATTACATTTAAGGAAATTGCACTTTTAATTCATTATGCCTGTGGCAATTTCAATTTTCCAAAAAAAGCTTTTGTTTTTTCAATTAAGGTCCATTATTGTTGTTTGATTGTTACAGTATTTCAATTATTATTTGTTCAGGAGATGATCAACCTCATCTTTCGATTGATATTTTCAAAAAATATATTTTTTTTACTTAAAATCAACTGATATTTCATGGATAAATAATTAACTCAATACGATAATTACGGATTTTATACTCAAAACGATTTTCTTTCTTTTTTTTTTCAAAAATCAAAAAACACAATTTTGGGCCAATAACACTGAATCTAATAGAAATATGTAAAAAGAGAATATTTTTCAATTTTTCTTCATCGAATAACTTTAATTATTTTTATTTTTTCAAAAAATCAATTTTTTTGTATTCGAAGTGCTTTCAATATTTGAAGAATTTCATAATAATGTTAAAAGTTAAAAATTTTCGATACCTAGAAGAATTATTTTTTTTTTTGAAGAAATTAATCGATTATTTAAAAGTTAAGTAAAAAAGAATATAATTGTTCTAATGAACATTAATTAATCTTCATTTAATTAAGATCATTTTGTTATTTTTTGTGGATTTTTTATTGGCAAATTCTTACAAATTCAATTAACTATTATGATGAAATTGCTTCATATTAAAATTCATTTGAGTTGCTTAATTATTCCAATAAAAAGCTAATTTTAATTGCAATTTTTCATAATTTTTTTTTAAAAAATGGATGAAAGGACATCGAATTCAACAGCGTTAGACAGACTAGGTTTCTGAAAGTCGATAAATATCAGAATCTTCATCATGCGACACTTAGAAGTTCGAATTTCCTAACAATATTCAAACATGTGCCAATTGAAAAACAAACTTTTAAATGAATTTTAATCATCTGGATATATTTTACGTTTTGTTATCAATTTTGTTTTAAATATATTACATTTAGTGTCAAATCAGTTTACGTTTAGACAAAATATATGTAACTCAGTCTATCTAATGGTATTCACACAAATTAGCCACTTTGATCCCGTAATTCGCTTTTGAAGAAAATATATTTATCGTTGACAGACCAATTCCAGTATCATTTTCCAAAAACGAGTTTTGATATTTTTTTTCAAGAACAAAAATTTGAATAGGTTGAATAAGAGATTCAATTTTTGAAAAACCTTAATTATTAATAAAATATATTTAATAATAAATTTTATCTGAGTAATTTAATTAACCTAAAAATAATTTGATAAAGATTATTTCAACCGAAATTTTTCATGTTGAAAATTATTATATATCGTAGAATCTTGGGTCAATTCTAAAATATAATATCTAATTTCTTCAAAGATTTCTGCTTCGACAGAAAATAGTACCATTTGTTAAACATCAGTTTTAGCTAAATTATTCAAGATCATACTCGAAATTATTCTTTGTTTTTTTTTATCGTAAAACTTTAATTCAATGAAGCCTAATTGAATATAATCACTTTCAATCTGATAATTTCACAATTTTAGTAATTATATTATTTTTATCATTTATCAAAGACATTTTAAAAACAAATAGACTTTTCTTCATTTTTTTACGTCAAATTTGAATAATTTATTTTCATTTTTCAATTTTTTATAAGTTTACATAACGATAAATTGACCCAAAAATGCTTCTTGATGGAATATTTGAAGGATACAAGATTCAAAAGCAATTCGGCCATGGTTCGTTCGGGCAAGTTTATATTGTGAAGTCGGAGAAAGATGGAAAATTATATGCTGGTAAAGCCGAAGTTCGCAATAATAAGCATTCATCTTTATTATTTGAAATTAAATTGTATCCGACATTGCAACAGTCCCAATATATTCCACGCTTTATTGAAGGTGGAAGTACTAATTTTTCTAATTATTTAATTATAGAGTTTATCGGTCCATCTATTCTATCAATGTTGTCAACACTCAAGAGGAATAGTTTTTCATTATCATCTGGCCTCAGAATTTCATATCACATGCTCAAAGCGGTGAAAGAAATTCATGATTTAAAGGTTATTCATAGGGATCTCAAACCATCCAATGTGCTGATAACCAAGGACAGGGCCATCCCTATAAAGATAATAGACTTTGGATTGTCCAGGATATATATTAACCATAAAACCGGAGCGATGATTCCTGAAAGGGATAGCCCCGGATTCAGAGGAACTGCATTATATTGTTCTGTTAATGCACATCTTCACAAAGATCTCTCTCGTTGCGATGACTTATTTTCATGGTATTTCGTTTCCGCTGATCTAATTAACGGTGGCCTGCCATGGAAAGGTATTGAAAACCGTGACGAAATCATAAAATATAAGAGAGACCATGATATGGGGCAACTTTTTCGCTCCACAATCCCAGAATATGCAGAGATATGGAATCAAATTAAGAATTTAAAATATGATGATCAACCTGATTATCAGACCATGTTCACATTGATAGAAATGGCCATGACAAGATTCCAAATTAATTTAGATGATCCATATGACTGGGAAGAATCTTCATCAGAAGAAGAACTCGATTACGATGAATCAGATTGATAATTCATCCACTTATAATCATGTTCAGTATCAAATAATCGGATGAATTATTTTAATTTATTTTTTTCATGAAAAATAATTTTATTCGGTCTTTTCAAATGATTCTTCGAACTTTTATGAAATTAATCGATTAGCAAGCAATATTTTCTCAACAAAAATTCGCATTTAATATCAATATTTATTTTCGATATTTTAATTGATTTATGATCGGCTTTACTTTCGATTTCTTGTTATTAATATATTAAATACTTGTTTGTATCTACTGTTCTTTTAACTAGTATCCGAGTATTTTTTTTATTTTATCAAATAATTAATTTACGACTTCTTAAGAGATAAAACAATTTGAGTGGGGCAATACCTTACAATTCTAATAATATTATAATTACATACTTAACTGTAATTAGATTTCATATTCAAATGCCAGTTAAACACTAATCGAAGAAAATTTAATTATAAAAATTTGAGTTAATTGATTTTCAACAAGTTTTATGTGCATTATTTCCTATTTTAAATTTTTTAAATTCAATATTCTCATTTCCAACAACAATAATAGACATTTTGATTAAGTTTCACCATGGAAGTACATTTTAAATTATTATTTTGAAAGTTATACGATATTTTATTTAGAATTTTTTTATTTGATCTCCAAGACCTTCGAAATCGGAAGTGCCCAAAATGAACCAAAAAGTTGACAAAGGAAGACTCCATTACTCATCTTTTGTAATCAAGATCATTAAAAAAAGTGGACCATAGCTGGATTCGCCGCTAACTATCCCCTACCAGAATTCTATGCCTGTTTTGATTGGAAAAATCATTGTACTGCTCCTTCCAGATATGCAAATGATTTCAGAATAAGATCTCCAATTAGTCTTCTATGAAAGTTTTGCAGGCCATTAATACTATAATTATACAACATAGCTGCTTGGATATATTAGCACAGCTACATAATTATTGTGTATCTTGTTTACTTGCGTTTTCTCTGTCCTGATATAATATAGTTGTGATTCTTTGTCAACAAAGAGTGAGAGAACTTGTCAGTAATGAATTTGTGGTATCTAAATGTTGAAAAGGAAAAGTGACAAATCAGTTTGAATATTTTGAAAATGAATTCTGAAATTAATATGACTCCGGAATTTCAAGCGTTATCGAAACTATCAGATATTGTAAGAAACATTGATCAGCACACTAATGAAGAGATTTTAGGCCTTGTTAACGATTGCATTGAAAAAAAGATAATTACTGAATATTATCTTTTGTTTTTAATTGATAAACTCACAACATACAATCAAATCGCGCTCAAGAAATACATTCCATTGATTGATGCCTACACAAATGGAAAGAAATTCAATATTACAAAACATATGTTTTATAATTACATCCTAACAAAGTATTTGACGGAAGGCGTATATGACGAATCATATGCATTCTGTTTGGATGATGTCAATTCAGTTGTGGCTTACGATGATATCGAAAAATTACGAAATATTTCAATAAGTCCAAATTTCGATCCATCAAAATACCTCGAATTTGCTACAAAATACGGTTCTATTTCATGTTTCAAGTTCCTTATTAATAATTGTGCATGCGAAGTTTCTGAACAAGCTGTTCAGTATGCATTTGTTGGAAATAATTTAGAAATTATTCATATTTTAGAAAGAGATTATCCTGGCTTCATTAACCAAAGATGCCTTGACTTAAGTTTAGCTAACCATCATCACGAAACAAGCCAATACTTGATTGATAAATATGATTTCAAAATTACTTTTCATTTCTCTTTATGTTATTACAATTTTGGTTTCTTTTTCAAATTGTTTGACACATTAGGAGTGAATAGTCTTGATAGTTCTGGTGATAATCCTCTTAAAGCAGCCGCAATGATGCATTGCCCATTTGTTTGTCACTATCTTATTGAAAAAGGAGCTGATGTAAATATGAATGATAGTTATGGAAGAAATGCACTTCATTTCGCTATTCACCAAGAGATATTTACTGGTGATGAAGCTTTTGAAACTATAGATTTACTCGTTAAGAATGGCTCTGATTTGAATTCTATTGACAGAGAAAATAAAACAATTATTATGTACTGCGCAATGGAAAATCAATTTAAATGTGCAAGGTATTTACTAGAAAGAGGATGTTTGATTGATCATGTTGATTTGGAAGGAAAATCGGCTTTGATTCTCGCAACATTTTATGGATATCCAGAAGTTGTGAAAGTATTACTCGAATACAATAGTAGTATATATAGCGGGTTTTGTGACTTTTTTTGTAAACGTAAGAATTCATACAATATAGAACGATTTTGTATCATTTTTTTTAACATATGAAGTAAAAAATGTATGATTCTTACGGTTTTTATTCTTACGTTTTTGAATAAATCAAGATTTAAAAAATTTTCAAAATTGTAAGACATTTACACTCAGCCCATACATAAAAATAATTTATTTCATCTTTTATAAAAGAAGCTATATATAGATGATGTCGGATATTCTGTGATTAATTAAACATTGTTTAAATCCTGAATGAAATCAATGAAGTCATAATCAAAGACCTCATAAACGGGTAAAAGAAATTAGAAATTCATGTCTTACATTTTTTGAATAATTTATTTTTTTAATTCGTATGAAATGAACGGAACAAGATTCGTGACTGTGAATCAATTAATGGATAAACTTTCACCAATTCTCGCCCAGGTTAAACAAGTAGACGTTTATTTTGATGATTACATAGAAAGTTTATTTTATAAAGGTAAGTTTAATATTAAACCCATTGCTTTTGCATTTGATGGTAAATTAATCGAAAATTCAAAAATTTGGGAATTAATTCCGGATATTGAATTTATAACAAATATTAAGGATAAATGGTTTAAACAACAAAATCACCTCACTAAAGTTCTTTGTAGATTAATGATTAAAACTGAGGAAAAAGAATTTAACGGGTTTAAATATCATCCATGTAAAATTTTAGAACTTGGTAACGAAAAACTTCAGAAAAAATTAAACGCAAGACTATCAAAAGATAGAATCGAAAAAATAAATAAACTCGCTAAAGATAATGATGATGATGAAGAAGAATTTGATGAGTTCAACATTGAACTTTAAGAAACTAATGATTATTTGAATTTATGAAATCAATTATTTGATTCATTCTTTCTTCAATCTCTTCTATTCTTTTTGTTAAATCATCTATTTTCATTAATGAGGTGATTCTTGATTGAGGAATAGATTTCAAACTAACCACCCCTTTTATTTTTGAAATTTTGAATCCATCAACTTTATACATTTTATTCAATTTACACGTTGTCAATTCTTCAAATAATTTTTTATTATTAGCATAATAGTCATTAAATTCTTCAACAGATGAAAAAATTTTTATTTCAGTAATTGGTTTAACAACGTTTATTTTTTGTTGAACATTTTCACCTTCATTTATTTCTTCCTCCTCCGTTTCCTTAATTTTTAAAACCGGTTTCATTTAACATTAAGGATACCCTTACGTGTCAGATTTTTTGCGCATACGAAGAAGTCATGCTAGACATGAGCTATAAACCTGAAATTTTAGCAACATATTTAAAACTTTTTAAACTACAATACACTTTAATATTCAAGAACAAAAATATTCTTTTTAGAAATTACATAATTATTTTATGTGAAATCTATATAAAAACATATTTTGCGAGCGTAACTTTTCTTTCTTATAAGCACTTTATTATGACTGATAAACTGTGAAGGCACATAATTGTTAATTCATAGAGTTGATATGTTTCCAAAATTGAGAGGAAATTGAAAATTGAATACCCTTCAATTCAATTTTCAAAAGATATCAGCTCCTTCAATAATTGAAGGACGATTTTGATCATTTGCTCTTAAAACAAGTATGCCATGGAGAAAAAAGTTACGCTCGCAAATCTGAAATATAACTATCATTAAAAAAATTAAATTTCTAATTTTTTACTCTATAGATATTATTGGCCACACTGTGTAATGCATAAAAGTTTATGTCATATGCATACATTTGGAAGTATGGGAGACGAGGGAAATTACTTCTATGAGGCACTAGGATTTTTTAAAATTTCTCTATCGGACTCACCATTCAATTTCTCGAAAATTAAAAAAATCAATAATAGCTAAAATGTATTATGCATAACAAATTTTAATGTTACACGGTATTTTTTGAACTTCATGACATGAATTTCTTTATATTATTTTTTTTTTTTTGGATTTTCTATGATTTATGCGATAGGCTGGAACAACATTGTAAGTGCAATGAATCATTTATAGAGAAATCTAAAACTTCAGCATTCAGAACTCGCAACCACAAAAATATTCATTTGCTAAGTAAGTAAAGTTGATTAAGTTCGACACTTAGCTTTTATACGTAAAACCAAGTGTGTATTGTTATTTCTTGTTAAATTATTGAGAAAAAAATAAATTGTAAGAGAAACGATACTGATTATTGAAATAATATTGAGGGTAGCTGCAGATTCTTCATTAACATGCCGGAAATTTGTTAATCTTGGTTTTCTATCATAAAATCTGTCGAAGAATCTAAAAACGGAGATATGAAATAGAGATCATGTAAATCTAGAGTATCCTGTCAGAAAAATAGACTAAGCATGTAACCCTTTTTGGTCATAAACACTTTTTACCACTTAGTCATACAGATGATCATTAAATTTAAACGAGCACTTTTTGTCAGAATTTATTCTTTTACAAAGACAGAAGATTTTAGTATTATTTAATATTAGTGCTGTAGCAAAATTCAAAAACGGTGAAAATTCAGTGAATTTTGTGAATTCACATTTTTTTTCGACATTTTTCTTGATATATCCATGCACATTAAGAACACAGCTTTGATACGCTTAAAAAAGCATATTTCATATGAAATTGTTAAAGAAATAAACAATTTATATAAAAAATTGCACTTATGGGCAGTTTAGATATATAATTTATATATAACATATATACAAATCCATAGACAAAGTGCAATAACTACAATGTTGTAGAAAATTACAGCAGAAATACTGACTTTTTGAAGGATAATAAGAATTCTTCTAAATGTTGTATTTTTATAATTTGATTGTTTTTTTTTTACTATTTCATTAATCTTTTAATAATAATTATTTTTAATATATGTGCTATTAAAATTTCAAATTTTGACTAATATATCTAAGTTATCTGAACGAAACATTTAGAAAATATCATACTTACATTGAAATAGCAAGTAGAGCATATTAATAGCAAGTTTCTTGGCTTTATATCTATCATCTATTGTTGTTTGATCAAACAAAATTCACTCTATTATATGGTGTCAATTAATTAAAACAATTTTTAATAGTTATTTATTTAGTGCAAATAAGTGCAAACTCATAAATGAATAACTTAATAGTAGAAATGAATTATCTGATATAAATCTCACATTTTGTCCATCAGAAATACTTTAATTGCATACGCATAACTATTAGTAATACGTCTGGAGTGTCAATTAATAACAATCCCACAACAAGTAAAATTCAGATTTTATTAAACTTATTTTTCCTAAAAGTTTTCTCAATTACTATATATACATTGTGGATAAAATAATAGTAATATTGTAAAAAATTAGATAATTTTTTTTATTTGAGAACCTCTCAAAAGTTCATTCAATTTATCAATTGTTTCAGTTTGATGTATATTCATTTCTGGAGCCTAAAACTTTAGCAATCATGACAATATCATATTCTCTTTCTAACTACGCAATGTAAGGGTATCCTTAAATAAAAATTAGAATATAAGTGATGAAATAAATTTTTTAATTAATATTAAATCAGAAATGGCTGCAGGATTCTTTAAAAAATTATGGGATGAAATTAAGAAAGCTGCGGGTTGGGTTTATAAAAAGGTTATTAAACCTGTTGCAAACTTTTTGGCACCAGTAGCGAAAACGGCAGGAACTATCATAGGTGGAGTATTAGGTACAAAAGCGGGTAATCCGGCGATGGGAGCACAAGCAGGTAACGCAATTGGTGGAATAGCTGAAGGAATACTTAATAAAATAGGAGGTAAATAGTGGAAAAAATAAATAAATAAATATTATTTTTATCTTAGTATCGGTTGTAGTCTTTGATAAACTTTTTCTCCTTTATTTAAAATTTCTCTTATTGGGGCAGCTTTTGGTGTTATTGATTCAGCAACGTCACTAATTGCTTCTTTATTCTTAAATATCCAATTTGCTCCCTTCTTCAATGTTTCCCAAACTTTACTCGCTCCTCTTTTTACTTTATCCCACAGTTTCTTAAATATACCTGCAGCCATAGTTGATTATTTCATTAAAATTAAAAATTCATTTTCATCTTTTAATTTTGATTTTTTATTTATTAATAAATGACGACTAACTATTTGGTGCCAAACACTAAACCGATTAATGGAAATGTGTTTCATTCATTCGAAAAGATATAATGAAATATTCGCAAAGAATGACGGTAGAAGATATTATAGAGAACTTGAAAGTTCATGCTATGACTCTGATGCTCCATATTTTGATGATAAACAAACTCATTTAAGAATTACAAATCCGGCTCATGATGTGAACAATTAGGTGACACATATATTAAACGCAAAGTTAAAGCAACTCTAGTTTCAAATAAAGCTTTCACATGTGATGCCGCTTTTAAATGCATGCGTTTATTCGTTGGTTACAAATCATCAAATCAAAGCTTTAAACAATTAGAAGTAGAAACCGAAAGAGGTGATGCCGGTTATCTTCAGATGGATTGCGCCCGTGAATCTTTCGCATTTGCAACATATAAACCAAAATCAGAAAGGAAAGTTAAAAAGTTTGTTCATTCGTTATATAATAATGTTCAAAAATATGATAACTCAGTATGTGGTAAATATATTGACCCTTCTGAAGTTTTCAAGAAAGAAAATGAAGAAGTTGATGTCACTTTTGATATGATTATTCCGGTAAATGATTTGTTAGCATTTCAGGCGTTCGATGATTATCCTAAATCATTTGGTGATATCATTCTTAAATATTATGTTTTCAGGGATACTTTAGTATTTTGTCAGGTTGACCCGTTAAGAGTTGCTGATTTACAAAATTACGTTTATGAAAAGATAACTGATGAAAATTATGAAAAGATTATGAATCATGTTTATAAATATGATCGCAAATTCCAACAAATCGGACTTCCTGCACAAATTAATTACAAGCTTAGCCGCTACATCTGCTGACGCAACAGTTGATGACGTTATTATTTCATGCACAAAGATGGAAGTTTTAGAGGATAAATGTATTACACCAGGATATGGTTTAATTGAAGAATCAGTTAAAGCAATACCACGTTTATTCAGTAAGGAAGATCCATTCATGATTCCAGCTCAACATATTGACGTTCGTTCACTAAATGGAGGTTGCATCACTCCTGAAGGTATTAGCTCAGATTTCTCATATGCTCTTCATAATGTTACAGATGTTGTGTTAACATTTCCGAAAAATGCAATGCAAAGAACAGTTTTAGAAAATCCAATGCTTCGAGGTCTTCAGGTCACTATAGATTCCAGAAACTTCCCCGATCAAGCGATGACCACAGTGGGTGACATATTCTTTACACGTATGCTTCAAGCTTCTGATTTAGATGGAGTGAATGAATGCACGGAAGAATACGAGGACTCATTAACTAGACCACTGAATGATGATGATGGCATGCCATTAGCTAGAACATGGAAAGACCAAACTTCATTCTTATGCACTATTCCAGTTCAACGTGATGGAGCGGGTATATTCTTTGATGGATTAGAAACTTTCAACTCACAAGTTACAGTACAAGTGAAAGCTTATCCAATCATTCAGGGTGAAAATGACACTTACTGTTCAAAGGTGACAAATCCTCCTCAGGTTTGGTTTACTAGGACTACATATTGGACATGGACACCGGATGAAGGTTTGAAATATCATCCAACAGGTACACCACCACAGTATAGAAGTTCATATGATGAAATATTGATGAATAGAAATGTTTAAAATTATAAATTTATTTTTGATTAAATGGATTTAAATTCATCCACCCCTTATGAAGAATTAACAGGAGTATATAATACATACGTAGATGATATGATTAATGAAGCATTGAGTGATAATAGAAATGCTCTATCTAAGGAAAAATTAATGAAAATTCCATATTCTGAATGTTACTTAAATTCAATCACTGCAGCAATTGGTAAAACAAAATAAAGGTAAAACATTAACGATATTAAAACAAATTATCATTATTGCTAACACTTCCCCCATTCACATGTGTTAATTTATATCAACCGTTCAGGTTCACCTTCAGATGATACATTTGAATCTTTAAAGCATTTAATCAAAATTCCAATTATTTATTTATCACAAGAAGAAGCAGAAGATTATTTAAAAAACTTTTTAATGTATAAAGAATTATATAATACAATCAAGAAGCAAGGATTAGAGGATAAAATTATTGATAAACAACGGGATGAATTATTTGAAACACTTTCCATTTCAAATTTTGATAAAGAATTTTTGCATTCACTCATTTTTCTAGATGATGCAGTGAAATCAAAACTAATAACAAATGAGAAATCATATTTTAATCAGTTATTAACTCAATGTCGACACATTCAGTGTTCATTCTTTATGGCTGTTCAATATTTTCAAAGCATTAAGCACAAACATTAAATCAAATCTATCAACACTTTTCATTTTCAGTGGGTTTAGTCGTCAACAGTTGAACGTTATGCTTTATCAAGTGAATTTACCAATGAGCATTAATGAACTTTACACACAATATCAGCAATTATGTGAACATGGAAAATAATAGTTGATTTAAATAAAGGAGGTGTTAAATTTGATTAACTTTTTATAATTAATTTTTATTTTTTATTTATAATTAAACATGACAGAAATAGCAAATCTTTTACAGGTTCCATTAAAACAAGGGACAAACAAAAGGGGTGCATATAATAGAACTATGAAAGTTCCTGATGGAATGAAAGAATTAGTTCATATTGTTGCTGGTCTTCAAAAAGATGTTAAACAAATGAGAAACGTTTTAACATTACCAGAAGCTCAAGCATATGCCAAACGTCATGGTCCAAATTGGGAAGCACACGAAGCAGACATTACGGGTCCAAATGGAAAACCTGATGGTATAAATGAAGTTTTCGTTACTGATGGTCAAGGTAATATTAAAGTCATAAATGGTTATAAATTAACTATATCTGATTATCCTAAACGTAAAGCATATAATGAACGTTATCCTATGCAATTTGATGAAAATGGAAAAGCTGTTAAACAATACATTGGAGAAGGTGAAAATGGTCCAATTAATTCATACCGTCATAATCCATATTCTTATTTCAATGAAGAATTAAATGCTATTGAAGAGGGACCGGATGGATTACCACGATATTCTAACCAGTTTGATGGTCAATATGCAAATATTAGACCTGAAATTTCAGCTAAGAAATTCTTTAAAGTTGCTTTATTCGATCCAGTTTTCGCAAATGTTAAAGATGAACTTAAACAACAATTCCAACCAATTATAGTAGCAAGAATTGCATCAGGTGCTTTATCTCAAGCATTCAAAGATTTAATTAAGAAACCATTATATCAGCAACGAGGTTTAACTTATGATTTAGTTAAGGAATCAGATAGAAGAAAATTTGAGAAATCAGATGATTATAAGAATGCAATTAATGAATATATTCGGTCTATTAATTTCGATGAAACAGCTAAAAATCAACTTCATGAACAAATACAGGGAATAATAGATTCAAAAGTTCCAGCAAAATAAAAGTTTAAATATATTTTTTTATTCGAATATAAATGAGAAGACGTTTCACTAGTCAAAAGAACACTAACGCAAAAGCAGAGATTACGGTTGGTTATAACGTAAATGATGATAAATCACGAATTATTCAAAATGTTAAAGTTAATGTTAGCCCTGAATTAACAAGGTCAGCAACTCAACCAAATTTATTAACTCGCGACTTACCGAAGAATGAGGAGAATGAAGAAAACCATGAGAATGGAGACCCAATCATTTTATCTGAACCCGGTAAAGAACCTGTTGAAATTCCCGCTTATCCAACATACCCCCACCACTTTCATCAAACATCGAGAACCCATATAAAATAGACATTAATTCTGAATTAATGAAAATTTACCGTGATATAATAATTAATAATTATGATTCAATAATAAATTTAATTGATCAATCCGGTTTAATTATTTTACCTTATGAATCATTAATTCACATTATCGCCATTCTTTGTGATGTTCAAGATTCAGACGTTAAGATTCAATTTTTCATAGATGATGAGGTTTCATGCTGCGGAACAGTTGCAAAAATAAATCCTATAAAGGATATTAGCACAATTAAGATAACAAAGAATGGAACAACAACTGAACTTCATTTAACATATAACAATATTTATAATAAAATAGTTGATGAATATAAAATATCACTTGAAAAATTCTTTGTTAAGGCTATTTAATATTCAAGCATTAACATTAACGAATAATAATCCTTTGAATCATAATCAATAATAATTGACCTTTCACCAGTTTCTATCGTTTGTTTTATTTCTTTTTGTTTCCCACTATCTGGATCAGTCATTGTAATTGTTTTTGTTATAGTATCAGCTTTATCTTTAACTTCAATCTTTTTTCCATCAGGATATTTAAACCAAAATTCCAAAAATTCGATATTGTCAATCTGTTCATATTTTAATCTATCAATTGCATTTTTAATACCATCTGAAAATCTTATGAAATGGTCATTATATGGGTTTGATTGAACTAAATTTGAATGAAGTGAAATATAACCTGTTGATGAATATGACATCGACTCATATTTTCTGAAAACACTAAAATTTATAACATGAATGAATTTCTTATTCGTTGAATTTATGAATTCTTGAGGTAATCTTATTCTAGTTTTATTTATCACTGGAAAATAACGCTTTACCATATTTTTAATTGTAATAAAAATGTCAATTATCAATATTATTTCGAATAATAGTTGTGAATTAAATTTAACAGTTAGTGGAATTTATAATGTTACTCTCGTTTCTGTGAGTGGTAAATTTAATCCCATTCTTTTAGACCCTTCAGATTATATATCATTTATTAAAGATGACCATGAAAAAACGTGTGATATGTATATAAATAATGTGATAACGAAATGGGATATTAATATGATTTTAAGTTATTTAAATGAATCATTTATCGTATGGTATGAAGAAAATTTTAAATCAAAACCTGATAAACTTTTTGAACTTGATGAAATAAATAACCTTATTAAATTCCCGCTGAAAATTAAATTTTGTACTCCTCATTTTCGTTCATTGTTGGGGATATTAAATTTCGAAAAAGATGTTGGGGATGTTTTGTATTCTGACACTGGTTCCAATTTCATTTTAATCAAATGTGATAAAGTTAATACCCCAATGAGATTTTCACATCAAACATTAGACCCTAACTCTTACCCATCAATACAAAACATTTTATCCATCAACTTAAACATATTTTCTTTATCATATCCGTTTCAATTATCTAGGAATTCATTTATTCTTCATTCAAAAGATTTATCAAATATTAAATTTAGAATAACTGACCTATTTGATTGTGATTTAGAATTTATGAATGAAATATTATGGCAATTTCAAATAGAAAAAATAGGTGATGAGATAACAGATTAAATATTTATTTTTAAATCGTAATAAATGATTAAACAACAGCAACCACAACAACTTAAGGCACAAAACGCCCAGGTCCTTCAAACCATTACATACGCCACATATGCATATAATTCAAAGACGGCAGAACAAACACAAAGGTTGAAATATGGAGATTTGGAGATAGTATTGAAAAATGAGCGTTTCGAATTCGTTTGCAAAGGTGGTGCAGTGATATCAAATATAAAAGAAATTTTATTTATGAATTCAAAAATTAAAGGTATAACGGATGATATAACATCAATTCCACCAGAAGAACAAAGATATTACGCATTAAATGCATTTCCTAAAGTTTTGAAGATTGGAAAATTTAATTTAAATGAGGAATTCATAAAAGGTTTCCTAAATGACATAATGAAGAAAGCGGATAAGGAATATGTGGCTAGTGAATTAAATAAGAAGGCAAATTTGGTTTATGTTGATGAAAAAGATAATGAAATTAAAGAAAGGGTTGAATGGTATCATGAATGGACATCGAAGATTTTTAAAACTAAAGCTGATACGGGATGGGTTTCAGGATGTTTAGACCTTAAAGCGGATAAAACTTATGTTAATGATGAGTTAGAGAAGAAAGCGGATAAGGAATATGTGGCTAGTGAATTAAATAAGAAGGCAAATTTGGTTTATGTTGATGAAAAAGATAATGAAATTAAAGAAAGGGTTGAATGGTATCATGAATGGACATCGAAGATTTTTAAAACTAAAGCTGATACGGGATGGGTTTCAGGATGTTTAGACCTTAAAGCGGATAAAACTTATGTTAATGATGAGTTAGAGAAGAAAGCGGATAAGGAATATGTTAACGAAATATACCAAAGTTTGATAGGAACAACAAAAAATATTGAAACTATTGTTGGTGACTTTACTGTCAATGAAGAAAATAAATATTTTAGATGGCAGTTTGTACAGTCCTTAAAAAATGGTATACGATGTAAACTCATTCCGAAAAATAACAATGAAATGTATGTAAGTTATAAAAAGAATAATGGCACACAAGTTAAAGTTCCATTATACAACAACTGTTACTTAAACTTATATGAAGACGAACAAAAGAAATATTTAAGAGTTTATGAAATGACAGATATGACATTGTCTAACCTAGCTCCAGCACCATATTATTATGACTATGGAGATGACGTCAGAACACCACATGTAGATGAACAAAAGCTAACATTATATTTAGATTATTATAGATATAAAAGATATAATGCAATAGAAAAAACGAGAATAGTATATTATTATACAGATGACAAAAATAAATATTATAGTCAAGATTTTACCTACCCTGATAACATAAGATTATATTATAAAAAATATTCTAACACAAACCAGAAGAAACCTGAAATAGTTGCATTATATCTTAAGTTCAAAAGAGACAATCCCATAATATCTCATATGTTTGATTTAATGAACCCAGTAGGTTCTATTTATACATCTATGGATGCAAGAGGTCCTCAAGCAATGTTTGGTGTTGGTGCATGGGAACAAATAGTCGACAGGTTTTTGTATTGTGCAAACTCTTCAAAGGAAACAGGTGGAAGTAAAACGATTACAGGTGAAAATTTACCTGCACACAGTCACTACATAGATTTAAGCACATCTCAAGCGGGTTGGCATAAGCATAGATATTGGGATTGGTCAGGAATGACAAAAGGTAAAGGATATGATGTTAAAGATGACGTTAAGTTTGCTATAAATTGTTACTGGAGTGACACTCAGGGAGAAGGAAACCATACACATTTCGTTTCAGGATATACACAAACAACAGGACAAAGTAAAGAATACATGCCACCTTACATGACAGTTTACGCATGGTATAGAGTTCAATGAACGCTCAATGTTTGTGAAACAAACTTTAGGAGCTCCAAAAGAGTGAACGGATATTTAATTTATTTTTATTTTAGTATAAATGAAGATTCTACCATATGGTGTTATCGGAAGAGATAAAGATGGAAACCCAATATTTGATCCAAAGTTAAAATTAAAGTTACTGACAAGACAACAACTTGAAAAGTTACTGAAACCAAAACAAGATGAGAAAATGAGAAAGAAAAAAATTTAAATTATGTAATTTTATTTTTATCATAAATGACAAAATTAATTAAGCCAACTATTTCTAAATTAATGTTACCAATGAAATCATTTCGTGGAGTAATTATCCCAGGTTCTTCACAATTAGCCGGGGCAAGTGTTGGGACTCAAGGTGGAACATTAGTGAATCCATTCAAATTATTAACTAAAGATGAAGTTAATAAAATGATGATAAAATAACTGATAACAAAATTTGATTTCAGTTCTTCAAAAATAATTCATGAATGCCTTCCTCCTGAACTGTTGTCAAAATGTCATGTTGTCACCATTTTTAAAAGAAATTAAATTACCTGGTAGCACCCGGTAACATGGTAGCACTGAAAAAAAATTAAATTTGGATTGAGTTTAAAAATTCATCTTTATTAAATTCATCTCTTCCAATCAATTTATTTATTCTATTAAATTCGTTTATTTTTGCTTCACTTAGTTTAAGGATTGAACGGTAAGTTTCTAATTTTTCGATTATTTCTTTATCGTTTTCAACCTCACCACATTGCGGTTTCTTTTTATAATAGCATATTTTTGATTTAATTTTGTTTAGTTTCTTTTTATATTCATTGTCCGGACTCTTGGCTGCTTCGTTGTCACCCATTTCTTACGAAATAAAAAAATTAAATATTATTTAAATATAATGGAGTAATAAAATAAATCGGAATTTCTATTAATTTATTGTTAACCTCAACTAATGCATTGCCGTTAATATATCTAACAAATTCAGCTATTGTGTCAAATCTTCGTCTTCTTTTTGTCATTGATTTATTAGTTTTTCCATAATCGAGATGAATCAAAACTTTATCCCCTTGTTTAAAATTCATGAGCCCCGAATTAATTTGTTCACGTTTAACATCATTTAACCTTTCCATTTGCTTTCTAATATATTCCCATTCTTTTGAAATATCATTTTTCATTTCCACCGGTTTCATGTTTATAGTTCTATGCCATGTATTATTGTAATAATATACTAACTGCTGTATGATGGAGTCATGATTTCCATCCCAGTATATCTGACCGTTAACTCCTAACGCATCTCTAAGAGTTCTCATTACCGCATCAACTATTTTATTATGAAACGTATATGGAGAGGATGAAAAGTAAAAATTAATTTGTGGGAAATAATGAGCCATAGCTGCCTGAAATCCTTTATCACAATCACCCCTTATATTATCTACTCTTTCATGATCTAGTAAGTATTGAATAGCTCTTCTTGTTTCCTGTTCTGTTTTCCCTTTCACCGGAATGCAATATAAATATCTAGTGTTAATGTTAATGGTAAATAAATAAGTAACGTTTCCTTTTGAATATTCTAAATGATCGATTTCGTATGAATATGGATATGGTGCAAATGAAGGGCGACTAAATTTTTCCTTTAACGGTTGAATTTTTGGGTCAGTTGGTTTATTTAATATCTTGAAATCCTTTTTAAAATCTTTTTGCTTCTTTAATGTTTGAAATGGATATAATAAAGTGAATGATGAAGAATTAACTGAAGGAGGAGGTACTACCGTTGGAGGTTTTGGTATTGCAAGTGATTTAATTTTATCTGCTTTGATTTTGGATTTCATTCCCCCCTCCATTAATTCTGGATGTATTTTATTCATTTGTTTTAAATATACTGTATATAAAGGTTTGATATACTTTCCCGCTTCGAGTTTATGTTGAAGGATGAATTCCAAAAGTTGATCTTCATTTAAAAGTTGGGCTGAATGTGGTTTAACTAATGAATCATAAATTAAAGCTTGTGCATCATTTATGGTCTGAATGACCTGGGTGTTTTGCACTTTTAACTGTTGAACATTTGGCTTTTGCGGCTCAGGATTATATAAATTATACAATTCATCAATATCTTCTTCTGTTAATACTTTATTTTTGAAATCTTTCAATTGTTTAAGTTGCGATTTAGTTTTTCCCTTTGCATATTCATTATTTTTAATTTTGTCTTTAATTTTAGAAATTATTTTATCATGATATTTCAAAATTTCATTTTTATAATATTCCACATCATCATCCATTATATTGTTATCATATTTTTGGAGATATGCTTTTAAATCATAATAATCAATAAAATTTTGATTAAATATTAAATCATCAATTAAATTTTTTAAATTTGCGTTATCCATTTATATAAAAATAAAATAAGTGTTTTAAGGGTGCCCACCTCTTTGATCAAGAATCAAAACCATCATTAACGGTTCCTTTTGTCTCTTCTGTGGCATTTCATTAAAAATAAAATTTTAAATTGTATTAAATAAATGGCATACAACATCCATTTTCACAACATACAGCCTTAGTGTGTGCTCCTGTTAATGCAGTCTTACCGATTGTTAAGCGAGTCATTAATCCGTTTTTAAGTTGTAAATTAATATTCTGACCATCAAATATCACTTTATCATTTATTATATCCAAATAATTTTTAGGTGTTAATTGTTTATTTTGTCGTAAACTAACACCTTTCATTTTTTGTGCAATCTTTTTAAAATCACTTCCATCAATTGAACCGTTGAATGATGTATAACACTTGGGGCATAAAGCAACCATGTTATCACCTTGTTTCTCAATTGCTAAACCCAATAATTTTTTCTCATGTGCTTTTTCTTCAGCTTTATTCTTTAATTTAGGTTTAAATTTCTCATCAAAACAGAAGAAATCAAATGGTGCGAATTTGAAAATGTTTTTATCATAAAATTGTTTATCGGTAACAATTGCTTGAAATGCTTGAGTGTTAGGAAGATTTGGGTCGCCAGCGATTGCACAATAAGATGAATCAGTATCACCTTCAATGAAATGAAAACGATTAACATTCATGCATTTATACATAAAATCATAAATGAAAACCAAATACCAGTATTTAGCATTATCTAAAGTGAAGAATGCCTCTTGTAAACATGTATCACATCTATAAAATCTATCTTTGAGCATCACTTGATATGTATCTTCACCTATTTCTCTTATGTTTTTAAACTTATTTGACATACATGCAACGCGTGCCTTCTGTGCATTCATTATTTTAGTCTTTGTGTAATTTTGTGTATTCATTGCATCGTAACCATATGATCCATTAAGCGAAATCTTGCAAAATAAACTTTTTCCTTTATTTCCTTCTAACTCAGCCTTTTGTCTTTCGTTCATAAATTCGTTCGCAAATTCATTAAAACAAGTGTTTTTAGTAAATGTTAAAATTGATTGAATATCATCAATGATAAAATGAAATCTGTCTATTAGATACCAAAGATAATAAGAAGAAAATGGTTGATATTGGTTGTGTGTTGATGCTAACTGAGTTAATTTCCTCTGTTTCTGGTCAACTGGTAGATTGTTTGATTTCATGTAATTATACATAAAACTGCCAATTGTTTTTTCATCTGTGATAATATCTAAGTTTCTTATTATCGGTAAAAAGTTTATGTAATCATTAATGTATTTTTCATCAATGTGACCCTTTACTTCAGCCACGAATAAAGTATTTTTCTTTCTAATAATTCCCAGTGCTTTTGCTTTCTTTGTTGCTGTATCACAAATGATAACACCATTCAATCTTCCTGGCATATACATTTTATGGTCAGTATATTGAATGAAATCATGAGGATTAGATGAAAATGATGAAGGATATAATGAATTAAAATCAACACCAACGAAATGAGTCATAATGTTGGTGGTGTCCTCATTTGATACAGTTTTAGTTTCTGGATTATATGAAAGTTTATTAATGTGTGTGATTCCTTTAAGATTAACACGATGTTGAACATTTGATAGACCACCAGTAATTCCATTACGGAGAATGTGATAAGCTTCAACTGAATCTAAAGTCATTGGTAAATTATTTTTTAATGCATAATTTCTTAAATTGATTCTTAAACGTTGAACATCTTCATCTTTATTTGATTTTACGACATTACAATAACAACACATTAACTGACAATTTTCTTTGGTATGCGGTTTTTCATTATCGATTCTATCCAATGTTGGTTTATTTGCATATGTAAACGCTTTACCACACATTTTGCATTTAGATGAAAGGATTAAATCGTGATAGTATTGAAAATCATCCATTGAAACATTATTTTTAGTATCCCTTTCTGCTTTTTCATCTTGTTTCTTATATGATTCAATTTTATATTTCCAATACTTTTTCGTTAATTCAAAACTTGATTCTATCTCTTCCTCAGGATATTTTTCATTAGGATTAAAGTCTTTATATGCTAAAGCGTAACGAATCATTGAAGCATTCGATGATAAAGAAAGATTATGAAGCGTGTCAATTTTATAAACAAATGTTTCTTCAATAATTTTATCAATTGGGTCAATCATAATTTCAACATCTTTATTGCAATAATGAATAAAATATTCTAATCTATTCTTAAAATTTTTAGCATCATTGAGATATATTTGATAATCACTATTTGATATAGTTTCTTGAGTTAATGCCGAATAAAATGAATCTTGAGTGAATGGTTCCACTTTATATAATTCTTCTTCGTAATTTTCCCACGTGATGAATTGATAAGGGAAAAAGGATTTAACACGTGATTTATTGTTTCCGAAATCTTGAGTGAATTGGTCTAATGTCCCACCCGCTATATAATTTCTGATGTCAATAAATCTTAATTCATATGGAACGTTTGTTTTCTTTACAATGATTTGCTTAAATTGTGAAGATGAACCCAGCATTGATTTTATTTTCCATTTTGCAGTGTTTAAATCACGAAGAATTAAATTTAAATCAAACTTTCCCGAATTAAAACCTATGATATTCACTTTATTGAATTCCTCATCTAGAAGTTCTTTAAATGCTTCCTTCTGTTTTTCATTTAATGTATGAGACAAAGTCCCCACCGTTTGCGGCTTCAATAATTCTTCATATTGTTCAATATTTGATTTAGCAACTAATGAACAGGTTGAAAATAAAAACTCAATCCAATCAGAAATAAAAGAATCACTCGAAGTTAAGCAAAAATTCCTCGTATATGTTTTATCATTTAATTTAACCGTTGATGATACCATGAATGGTTTCAAGTAAGCATTCAAAGTTGCACACTCAGAAAGTTGTAATTCTTCTTTAGTCTCTAATGTTTCAAAGTCAAAAGTAATATAATATCTTGTCGGTTTATAATATTCCTGCAAATTGTGAGCTAATAACCACTGATATATCTTCTGTTTCGTAATATGTGGTGCATATGGTTGCTGGGTCTTTTGCAATTGAACGTCTTGAATTAATCTCCCATTATTTTCTTTACATTTCTCACAATGCTTTAAAAATCTTCTTTGGTTTTTCCTTTCTGGGTCATCACGGATAGAATAAACTTCTTCTTTACAAAATGAACAAACTTTATAGCCGGTGAGTGCTTCTACGTCTGTTATTCTGTCAGCGTGAAGTTTTCCACATGAACTCTGTGTTAATAAAATATTTACTGTTTCAAATTCTGGATCTATCATTATTGATTCCACTAATGGAAAGTCTACCTTATTTATGTCCACGTCTTCTGGTTGAGGATCACAATAATAGAAATCAATATTAACATTTAACATTCTCGCTAATCTTTCACTTTCTGATGAAATGTCAAACCCTTCATATGCATCTATTGCTTCATTTAAATAACTTCTACGAGTTTTAGGATTAACACCATCAGGAATGTTATAGAAGCGTTTAAATAACCTTCTACCTTCTGCTCTAATTTGATTATCATTCATTTTAGCTGTTCCGTTTTTGTTCATTTATGTAAGAATAAAAATTAAAAAATAAATAAAAATAAAGTTTATTTTTTAAAGCCCATAAAATGAATTAAGAACACATAAATTTTTATCATCCGCGACGTGACGAATACATTTTAATTTACTCAAGAATGCGTACCCTGATACATTAAATCTAATTCCTGTCTTATTTAATTTCACAACTTTGAAAAGGAATGTATGAATAGCTATAAAATGATGAGATGATGTTTTATGGGTTGCTTCCATTTTTTCTGAAATAAATGAATAAATATAATGTTTATAAGTTTTCATATCTTTTATGTTCTTAATAACGAATGGTATAGACCTTTCAACTTCGTCTTCCTTCGGTGCTGTTCTTTCATATGAAACATTATTGGTATCTTCAATAATGAAACCACAATCACACAAAATTTTATAGGTTCCAATGGTTTCTTTTGATATTTTATCTAATAAATCAAAAACTTTATCAACACCTGTGCATTTATTTAAATAATAATTTGTGTAAATATCATGATCTTCTTTCTTAATCGTATTAGTTGCATATGTCACGTTTTTAAGAGCTTTTTTGAATTTTTTGGAATCTAAAGGTGGTGAAAGTAAGATACAAGGGTATTCTTCATTATCAATAAATTGTAACTTATGTTTACGAATAAATTTAGTACCTTCTTCTGAAAGTGTTTCATCTATTTCACCATCTAATAAATTTTGTGTTGATTCTGAGACATAATTTTTATATCTTTCTTCATGAGATTTCTGAACTTCTGATTCTGAAGCTGGGATATTCATTAAACCCTCTACTTCATTTTCATTATATTTTTCAACTTCTCTTAATTCCTTAATTTTTTCATCTATTTCATCTCTTATTTTTTCCAGTCTTTCAATTTCATCATATTCATCATCTTTAATCCGTTCTTCATAATATTCAGGGAAAACATCAGGTTCTTTAGGTTTTTCTTCTTTAGATGTGGGATATAAGAAATTTATAACATCATTTTTATTCATTTTTCCATCATAATCAAACTCATTTAAAAACTCCGCGAATTTTTTACAATTTCTTAAATAATATTTATCAACCTCATAACCCGCCTCCTCTAATATATCCTTTATTTCCTCGTTTGTGAATCCTAATTTTTTAACGTCGTTAGTTTTGACGCTCATTTCAAACAAAATAAAAAAATAAAATAATAAACATAACTAAGTTTTAATTTTTCGTAAGACATGAATTTCTAATTTCTTTTACCCGTTTATGAGGTCTTTGATTATGACTTCATTGATTTCATTCAGGATTTAAACAATGTTTAATTAATCACAGAATATCCGACATCATCTATATATAGCTTCTTTTATAAAAGATGAAATAAATTATTTTTATGTATGGGCTGAGTGTAAATGTCTTACAATTTTGAAAATTTTTTAAATCTTGATTTATTCAAAAACGTAAGAATAAAAACCGTAAGAATCATACATTTTTTACTTCATATGTTAAAAAAAATAATACAAAATCGTTCTATATTGTATGAATTCTTACGTTTACAAAAAAAGTCACAAAACCCGCTATATATACTACTTACAATGCTGACAGGTCAATCAGAGATTTAGATGGCCATACAGCTGCTGATTACTCAAATGATTGGGTGATGACATGAAATCTCTTTTCAAATGATAAAAAATTTACTTTTATAAAACAGTTATTTTTAGTATCTGAATCTATAGCTATGTGAGTGATGCATAATATCTATACAAGTGTAGATATACAAAATGACTACAAATAGAAAAAAAGCATGGATATAAAATAATTGTAAGCAATACATAATATCTAGAACTCACAAGAAAGTTTCAGCGATTAATTCATTTGTCCTTATAAGTTACTACATTAAAATGCTAAACCAACTGATATTTGAAAAAAATGAATAATAAATTTCTTTCTGTTCTTTAATACTATTTAGAACATACAATATTCTTACTTTTTTTTCAAATGACATAACATTTGTCCCATTCCTAATTATACATCACAATCTTGAAAAATAATATAATCATCTAGATGAAAATCCTATTGCTTGACTTTTCTATTGTTATCGTGTCATTTCATATCTATGAACTTAATTAAATTTCATAAATTAATTCCGATATCTTTGCGATCATTACTTTTTCCATTTCCAACATAATTTTGGTTTCTTCTAATAAATTTAAAAGATACTTATTTGGTAAAATGTGTCCTTTTTTTTAAAGATTTTTAATGTCCGAACAAAAGGTTCATCCAAATAAATACAGCGAATTTCGAAGCACCTACAAATACTACATTGATTCATATATTGCGCTATATCAGCTGAAAACGGACAAAGAAGAAGAATTAAAGGAGATTTACAAAATGATCAAAACAGAATTGATTGATTCAAAAAAATATCTTCCCAAAGACATTATAATAAACATTTCAAATATCATTCCCTATAATAATCGCTATACAAAGTCATATTTGTTTCTTGCCAAACTCATATATGATGATTATAATGTTAAAGAGGTCTGCAATATTGGAGGCATTTTCAACTTCCTGTTTTATAAAGAATATGGATTTAAAATAGACAAATATCATGATTTCAAAAAATATAATTTTGAAAATATGGACATTCATGAAGAAAACACAATTTACAGAGAAAAATATGGTTATGGAAGAGCCGCTCTTTTAGATACATTGCGCGATAATAGAGTAGAAACAGTCGAATTTATTCTTTCACATGGTCTAAATATTAATGAAAAAAATAATTATGGAGCAGCCGAAATTCTTATATCGCATGGTATAAATATCAATGAAAAAAGATAATGATGGAAAAACAGCTCTTCATGGAGCAGCACAATATAATAGCAAAGAAACAGCAGAACTTCTTCTTTCACATGATATAAATATCAATGAAAAAGATAATGATGGAAAAACAGCTTTTGATATTGCAGCAAGTATGAACAAACGAGAAATAAATGATTATCTTATTTCGTATGGCGCAAAATTATAACGCCCTTACATAATTTACAATTCTTTTTTTCCCTATCATTTAGCTCAATTTCCCATTGATTTTATACATAAAACAATTTTTTTTGTGTGTATGTGTATGTGTATGTGTGTTGTTGTTGTTGTTGCTGCTGCTGCTGCTATCAACAATAAAATACACAACTCTTGATGAAAGTCATGCAGTTAATAATATGAATTTCTCTCAAGGAGTCGATTTCTGCCAGATTGGTCTGTCGGACCTCAAAAATTTTCTTGATTTATAACGTGCTGCAAAATGAAAAGCGTTAACACCATCATTAGCTTTTTCATTGATATTTTCATCATATAAAATAATATTTTCAACTATTTTCACGACACAATATTAAGAGTGGTTCTTCCATGAATATCCTTTTCATTGATACTTAAATACCATGTGAGATAAAAAAAAAAATCTTGATGAAGTAAAATTACAATATTTGGTATATTATAAATACATTTTTATTATATTAATTTATTTCTTAATATCCGCATCCTTTGCAGCGATTAAAAGCGCATCCAATCCGTTGTCAAGATTATCGCAGAGTTCCTGAGACTTTCCCTCAGAAATACACCATTCCCTATGCTTTCTAACTCCTTCGCTCGTTGTTTCAACGAATTTCTTGAAGGCCTGCTTCAATTCCGAAACTCTTTTGTCGTCGGAATTGAAGAATTCCTTGATAATTGCAACAGGTCCAACATTTACAGTCGCCAGAAGTGTTCCATGTAACTGTAATTCGAGACTTTGGTAATCTTTCTTATCAAGAGCCTTTCTGATCTTCTTTGTGCGATCAATAATCATATTCGTGGAAACAACTATAGGTTCCAGTGTTATGTGGTCGATCCTTTCTATCTTTGTCCGTTTGGTCAGATAAGGCATCGCATTTTCAGTATGAATAATATTCCTGAGCAAATGCTGGTGCATGATATCGCCTTGTCGGTCATTGCCAAGGGTAAACGGAGTCTCGTACATGAAAGTTTGAACGTTATGGTGCATCTCGAATTCGCTCTTTTCAACGCCATCGAAAAATGGCTCGATGAACGTGCATTGTATGTAGAGCTTTCCATCATCTTCGGGCTTGATTGAGGAATCTCTCAGAACAACAGAATCTTTGTACTGATTTTCGAGGCGCTGAGCGAGTTTGACGACGTTGGTGGCTCCACGCTCGCGATAGACGTAATCTCGTGCAATTCCGTTCTGAGAAAATGTGACTCGGAAGAAATTATTGTAAATTCTCGAGGAAGTATCGACATCGAACGTTTCTGCGAGGATTCTGTAGCATTCGGGTGTATCAATACCCTTAAGAACCTGCTTTGCGTACTCTGGGAGGCACTCTTTCATACATAATCTTGCAGTTGCGTAAATTTCTTCAAGTTCCTGGCGTTTTCTATGATAAGGAGCCATAGAAACTCTACACTCGATCTCTTCGTACACGAATTCCTTCGATTTCCAGAAGTCCGCCAGCTTATTCAAGTAGAAATAATATCCTTCTTCGCTAGCCTTGAAAATGTTGGCCAACTCCAAGAGCGCGTCACCGCTTTCATCAATATCTGTCGATTCGTAGGCGATTTCCTGCAGAATCTTTACAGTATTGACCAAATATCTGAGTTTTTGCGGTTGGACATCTACGATTAGATTTATATCGGTTGTGGCCAAGGCTCCCAAAACATCGGTCAAATCTTCGATCGGACCGAAATCTGCTTGTAATGTGTCGGAATGCTCCAAAATCTTTGATAGAATCTTGTACGGAGGAGCTTCTGGAATGTTTATGTCGTTGTAATGGTCAGCCAACAATTTGACATAAACAGAATTTAATATTGGCAAAATGTTGACAGAGAAATCCTGTGTATAGAGATGGAATATGATCTTGACAATCTCCTTGTAGTTCTTGCCGTATCTAACAACGCGAGCGGAGCAGAGTTGAGCACATAACAACAAATCACGTGATTTCGAGTCATCGATCGTAAATGTTGACATCGATGGCGTGGAAATAACTTTGCTTCTAACAGCGAACGATTTGCTCTTCGGTCTTGAAGAAATTGAGTATTTTCCTTCTAAATGGCTCAACATTTCGGATTTCTTGGTCGTAACGCCGGATTTAAGCCTGTTGAGGACAAATTGCAATGACTGGAGTATTATATCTTCGTTTGTTGACTTAATAAATTCTTCGACAGAATTTGACTCGGCGAGTGACAGAATCCAAAGGAAAAGAGGTATGGCGGGCTGCAGATCGTTATCCTGAGCAAATGGAATGTCTGTTAGCGGGGATAAAATGTATAAAATATTTAACATTTTATTTGCTAGGAATCTCTGCCTTCTTGGCTCAGCCTTTGAAGCTGCAACTAATATAGTGTGGAATATTCCTTGTACTGGCCTTGAATGCTTCGCTCTGATCGTTTTTACGCATAATTCTTCAATTTGCTTGTTGTCGAAGACCATTGCATCGAATAATGGCGAATCTAGGACTATTGATAAAAAGCTACATAATATTTCTGCTTTGTTCGGAGTGTTAAAGAAATTCTTTGTCACTTTTTCGATACAAGAAAAAGCTTTTTCTTTCGGAACTGATTCACGGATGAAGAAAGCAAATTCTTCAATGAACTTCTTTGTCTGTATCAATCCATTATCTGTGAAAGAAGCGATCTTTGATACAAAAGTTTCTGAAAATTCTTCAATTCCAGCGAAAGTTGCGAGCTGGAACAGCATTGGAATGGCAACAAAGTCTCGCCTGTCAAGGAAGTTTACGATTTCACCTACCTTATTCAAGTACGTCTCGTATCCTTTGAGAATTCCGTCATGTCTGTGGAAAATGTAGCGAGCAAAACCAGCCAAAATCTGCGGGGCCTCAGGATATACCTTAGATGCGTGGAATGCCATATCGATAAGGCCTTTTACCGCTTCAAAAGGCTTATCATTGAGGATTTCAAGTAAATTCGCCATAATTGTGATACAGTTTCTGCATGCAATGTCATCTCTGACCTTGTCAAGCCCGTCTTCTTCTACTTCTTTGTTCTTTAATTTCTCATAATATCCGAATAAATTCGGATCTCCTGAGAAAATTGTAGAGAAAATGCGGAAATCGCCATTTACGACATTGAGAGATTTATCTGGTTTGTCTTCCATGCCAAAAGAAACTCCAGCTGAAATCGGACCAGAAACAACAGGAATTCCGTTGTTTACGATCTGAAATGCTGCGTGCGCGATGAACTGCCTGTCATTGTCACTCTCATTTTGAACAATTGCGTGGTAAAGATACACAAAAATGTATAAATTCTTCGGCAACTTCGCAGGGAGGTCCGCTGTGAAGACATCGTCGAATACAGGTGATTTGTCGTGGTATGTACATGTACTTGTGAGTGATTTCACGTGCTGTTTCGTCATTGGATCAATAAGATAAGGAAGACGTGGAGTAATTTGAGATTCTTGGACACTGATGACACAGAAAATATTCCTAGCCTTCAATCCTTCAGGGAGCTTCTTTAATTGAATGGAATCAAGGCGAAATGTAAATTGATGGCGAAAAGTGACATCCGGTTTGATATTTATATGGAAATTTGTATGTAGTATTTCGTATCCTTCAATATTATGTGCCGATCTCGGTCGTGCTTTCATTACAACTTGAATTGGAATTTGAGTTCTGTTACTAGTGTTTTTAATTGCATCGTCGAGGTTGCGGATGATTGTATTTGAGCATAACCATGCCTTTGGGAACTTATAACCATGAGCTCCTGTAATAATCGAAGTGACTTTCGCAAATGTAAAAGCAAATGTAGTATAAATATCCGAAATTCGAGGATAACTATCAATAACAGATTTCTTTGCTGCTTCGATTGTTTTCGGACCTGGCTTGTCGTAATATCTGTCTACAGCGCTTCCTGATTCGATTTGAAGAATTCTCTGGAAGAGGATAACAAGGTGTATATTCGGAGATACTTCTGTGTTTTCGAATGTTACTTTCGAAGTAATTTCGATGTTTCCGTCAGGATTTGTGTATCGAAGTGTTTCTTTTGGCATAAAATGCCAGTAATCGGAAATTACTCTTTCTCCATTATGTAAAAATGCTATACATTTGATTGGTTCTAAGAAATAAAATCCGAATTTGAAATTTCCGAGTTTGAAAGTGAGATATTGCATATTATTCTTAGGCGGATTGTAATTTCTAATAACTTCTAGGTTCTCTTCATTGCTTAAATAGTGCAAAATCAGAGAAGAAGGGTGAACTGTTGTAGATGGCGGAGCTGGGATGCTAGAATGCGACTCAGAATTCATGTCATCGTCATCGTTGTTTTCTTGGTTAGCTGCTGATTCAAGTTGTTGGATAGAAGGTGGTTGTAAAATTGGAATTGAAAATAATTTAACAACAGGAATCTCTGAAAATTCAGGATCATTGCTCAGACGGATAGCAATGTCGCTTTTCAATGGACTTCCTCCCGATTCTTGAATGGTTGTCGAAAAAGAAACGGTAGAATGTAAATCCATATAAAAAAATTCTTTTTGTAAACCTAAGAATCGGATAAAAAAAATCTTAATCTATGCGAAACGCAAGATATAAAGCAGTTATTCAAATACTCTCTTGTTTTCAGGCGAATTTGATTAATATATAGCGTTCCAAAGTAAAAACTCAAACGTGGATAAAATAGTAGTGGATATGACGGGTTGTGTGACTTTTTTTGTAAACGTAAGAATTCATATGATATTGAACGATTTTGTATCATTTTTTTTAACATATGAAGTAAAAAATGTATGATTCTTACGGTTTTTATTCTTACGTTTTTGAATAAATCAAGATTTAAAAAATTTTCAAAATTGTAAGACATTTACACTCAACCCATACATAATGAAATAAAAAATAAAAAAATTAACATTAATTTTAAAAGAAGCTATATATAGATGAGTAGTATATGATGCGGGTTGTGTGACTTTTTTTGTAATCGTAAGAATTCTCACATAATTGAATGATTTTTGAACATACTTCCGAATAGCAGATTTTAAAAATTTATGAATAATTTATAAAAAGTTTTTATTCCTACAATTCCTATATTACCATTAATAAAAAGAATATATTTTATAATAGTTTCATTTCGAACATGTTAAAATTTATCTGCATTTCGAAAAATTTTATTATAAATGATAATATAATTTATTAAATTAATATATAACTTATGAATTTTTACTTTTTGTATGAAATAAAATTTAGTATTAATAAAGTTATAAAATAAATTGGTGCATGTTAGATGTAAATAAGATAGAAAAAGGTGTCAATTTTTTAAAAAATTTTGAATTCAATGAGTTATATCAAAAATAAAATTCTTGAATAGAGTAAAAAAATTTAAATAATTTATTTAAATATTTTCTTCTGACATTTTTGAATAATTTATTTTTTTAATTCGTAAGAAAATGAGTGACAACAAAGCAGTCAAGAGTCCAGACGATGAATATAAAAGAAACTAAATAGAATTAAATCAAAAATATGCTATTACAAAAAGAAGCCGCAATGTGGTGGGGTTGATGCCCATAAAACTAAAGTAATTGAAAACGATGAAGAAATAATCGAAAAATTAGAAACTTACCGTTCAATCCTTAAACTGAGTGAAGCAAAAATAAAAGAATTTAATAGAATAAATAAATTGATTGGAAGAGATGAATTTAATAAAGATGAATTTTTAAACTCAATCCAAATTTAATTTTTGTTCCTCTTCGACAACGTCTCTCTTTCCATCATTACTGCATAACCACATTTTCTCAGTTTTAGTGGTTTGTTATTTTTAGCAAGTTCTCGCATCATTTTTATCGTTTCCTCCCTTGTTATGATTCGTGGTAAATTTTGAGCTTGTGGGGTATTCATTTATGATAAAAATAAAAATTTGTCATTAACGACCAAAAATATATTTTATCGTTAATGGTTTCAGGTTATTCAATAATGACTTATTTTTGAAGAACTGAAGGTGTCACCAGGTCACCATGTGTCACCAGGTTAATTAACTTCTTTAAAAAATGATGACAACATGACATTTTGACAACAACACGGGTTATTCAATAATTAATTATTTTTATTTTTTTCTAACTTTTTATTTTGTATGTAAGAACAGTAATATCGGTCGAAGCACAGACGTTCACGAACAAATCTAATGGCGAAACATTCACAAAAGGCACTTATAACGGTATTGAAGTCTTACGTAGAGACAAGGATGATTACATTAATGCAACAAAGATGGCAAGAGAAGCGGGAAAGTTAAACCATTTAAACAGATTTCTCAATAGTGCTAAAATGCAGGAAATTCTTGAGTTTTGGTTGAAAGAATATGGTGGAGCCAAAAGTGGCTCGACCTCAAAACAAGCATTTTATGAGCTTACAAAAGGTGTTATAAATGAATTCAAAGGTATTTACATACATCCTGACCTCGTTCATTTTGTTGCTGAATGGTGCTCTGTAAAGTATGCATTTTATGTCAAAGATATTATGGACTCCATAGACAAGAAAGTTCATGAGAAATTAGATGAAGAAGAACTCGAAGATACAGTAGAGAATGCTAAACCTTTGTTTGAAGAAGAAGTTGGAAAAATGTGCGAAAAACAATTAGAACATGAACGTGAGTTATGTTATGGTTATAGAGATTCTCCATACGAACTAGACCAATGGGAACAAGAAAATTTAAAGAGAGAATTTAGAGAATATGAACTCGCTAAGATAGCATTAGAAGCTGCAGAAAAGAAGTTAAAAGCTTGGGGTTGTTTTGTACAAAAATATTGTGAGTAAATGTTTTCAGGTTATTCAATAATGACTTATTTTTGAAGAACTGAAGGTGTCACCAGGTCACCAGGTAATTTAACTCATGACATTTTGACAACACAGGAGGAAGGTAGTTATGACTTATTTTTGAAGAACTGAAGGTGTCACCAGGTCACCATGTGTCACCAGGTTAATTAACTTCTTTTAAAAAATGAGACAACATGACATTTTGACAACATCACAGGAGGAAGGTAGTTATGACTTATTTTTGAAGAACTGAAGGTGTCACCATGTCACCAGGTCATTTAACTCATGACATTTTGACAACACAGGAGGAGGGTAGTTATGACTTATTTTTGAAGAACTGAAGGTGTCACCAGGTCACCATGTGTCACCAGGTCATTTAACTTCTTTTAAAAAATGAGACAACATGACATTTTGACAACATCACAGGAGGAAGGTAGTTATGACTTATTTTTGAAGAACTGAAGGTGTCACCATGTCACCAGGTCATTTAACTCATGACATTTTGACAACATCACAGGAGGAGGGTAGTTATGACTTATTTTTGAAGAACTGAAGGTGTCACCAGGTCACCAGGTAATTTAACTCATGACATTTTGACAACACAGGAGGAAGGTAGTTATGACTTATTTTTGAAGAACTGAAGGTGTCACCAGGTCACCATGTGTCACCAGGTTAATTAACTTCTTTTAAAAAATGAGACAACATGACATTTTGACAACACAGGTACGAAAAGAGGAAGGCAAAAATAAATTCCAATCATACTTTATAAAGCTTCATTTACAGGTATTTCATCGTCAGTAAATGAATCCTCATTATCGTTTGGTTCAACCTGTTTATATAATCCTTTCATTTCTTCTTTCAAAACATAACACCATGTTTGTTTACCATCTATTCTTACCTGTTTCCTATCACATTTATCCTTAATACTCATTTGAAAGTTTTTGTCTTTCATGTCTGATGGTTTGCAGAATAGAGCATTTTTACACGTCATACCTGCACACAATTCATCATAATGTGTATTTATCCATACATCTAAAGGATTTGTTGATAATTCTATTAAATCTTGTTTGGCTTCAGTCATCGGTATGATTCGTACATTAAATGATGAAAGGTCATATTGCATAAAATATGTTAAAAGGTTATCATAAAATTCCTTTGTGCATGAATCCATTAAATTCTTGAAGTAATCAAATTGACCCTTGAATTTACCATTAACCCTTAAAACTACGTATCTTCTGTCTCCAACTTCAATTTTGACAGGGTAGACGTTGTTAGTTACGAAAATGAAGTTTGCAACATTCTGAGCAGTTCTTCTGGGTTGATTCTTTTCATTAATTCTAATCTCATTATCCGTTATAATTGATTTCAAAGCGTTGAAGTTTGCGAGTCTGTCTTCACCTACATTCTTGAGTTCATTAAGTACAAGAAACATTTTATTTTCAACTACTGAGTTGAAATTACCCGTTAGCTCACCTATTTCGGTAATGTTTTTACATGAATAACCTGCGAGAAGTTCAGAAATAATGTCTGTAAATCTGTTTTTACCTGTTCCCTGAAGTCCTTTCAAAATAATTGCTGTTTCATTCTTGATTCCAGGATGTTGAATCATTGATGCAATCCAGCCGAGAAGGTATTTATACACTTCATCGTTATTATCACAAATGGCTTCTTTAATGAAATCCATAAACATCTCAATTTTTGAGTAATCAAGCTTTTCAAGAATGTTGTATTTATAACCCTGAAACGTTGAGAAAACATCGGGGGAATCAGATTTAAAGCAAACACCCTTAACGGTTAATGAAGACAATTGATTTAATAGTACATCCCATGCTGTTATGGTTTTACCTTCTTCTTTAAATAATTTAATCATTTTAAGTGACTCTTTCATGTTTGACTGAAGAACGAATGATATTTGATTCATTTTGTCGTGGATATTATAGTCCTTTTGAATGAAATATTTGTTTCCACAATCTACAAAACGAATTACACGTGATAAATCCTCAATTACTTCAGAACTGTTTTTATACTGATGATTTTCAGCCCTGCGTCTAATATCTGTTATCAAAAACGAGTCATCAAGTTTGATATCAAATGTTATTTTTGGCTTACGTAATAAAGGTAAAACATATTCATCATAATATTCCTTTTGATAAAGTTTTAGAATCTTCACTAAAACAAATGGAGAAGTCATTAAATGTGCATATCTACTACGTGCTTTTTCAAAATTACTTTTTGCATTTTCTGTTAAATTGCAGAAGTTATAAACGTTATCGTATGCTTCATTAATTAAATGATTAGGTAACGAATTAATTGCTTGAAACAGTGTGAATAATGTAACTTCTTTTTCTAAATTCATGTTTCCACCGTCATTATGTACTTCAAAATCACAGATGCCATCAACTATGCTCTGGGCAAGTTTATCGTCAATGTTTACATCTTTGTTTTCATTCATTATACTCTTTATTTCTTCGCTCTTTTGTTCAACTCTTACCTTAATATTCAAATCATTTAATATATCATTCACTGTTCTAGTTAATGTTGAATCATAACTTCCACGAATGAATGAGTATGTATTGATTGGTTCTGATGCATTCTTGCGAACTCTTGATTCAGCCATAACCACTAATGAACGCTTTGAATCATCAATAGAAGTCATTATGTCAATATCATAATCATTGCAGGAATAACATTTAATCATTCTGTTCGAAACTGCATAGAAGAAATTAGTGTTGCAATAAATGTGAAGACCTCCTGATGCGGTTTTAACGATAACATCTTTATCCGAAAGTTTTGATAAAATGTCTTTTCTAACTGTTTCTTTAAGTTCATCATTGTACGATTTATTGATATCAACATCTATAATCGTTAAATTTGAAATTTTATTTACTAATAAAGCTGTACCAGTTTTCCTTCCTCTTCCTCCATCATGTTTGAGGTAGTTATGTAAATCAATCTTGTTTTCACCAATTCTTTCGTTGAGGGTTTTAGTTTCTGCCACAACTAATTCCTCAGCTAATGAATCAATAACTTGTTCATCAGAAATGATGAAGTTGCTGTTGCTGTTTGTTGCTGTCATTTATATAGGAATAAAAAAATAAAAATAATTTTAAAACTAACTTTATTTTTTGACTGCATCAAATTTTCGTAAATGTTGTCAAAATGTCATGTTGTCTCATTTTTTAAAAGAAGTTAATTAACCTGGTGACACATGGTGACCTGGTGACACCTTCAGTTCTTCAAAAATAAGTCATAACTACCTTCCTCCTGTGTTGTCAAAATGTCATGAGTTAAATTACCTGGTGACATGGTGACACCTTCAGTTCTTCAAAAATAAGTCATAACTACCTTCCTCCTGTGATGTTGTCAAAATGTCATGTTGTCTCATTTTTTAAAAGAAGTTAAATGACCTGGTGACACCTTCAGTTCTTCAAAAATAAGTCATTATTGAATAACCTGTGTTGTTGTCAAAATGTCATGAGTTAAATGACCTGGTGACATGGTGACACCTTCAGTTCTTCAAAAATAAGTCATAACTACCTTCCTCCTGTGATGTTGTCAAAATGTCATGTTGTCTCATTTTTTAAAAGAAGTTAAATGACCTGGTGACACATGGTGACCTGGTGACACCTTCAGTTCTTCAAAAATAATTATTGAATAACCTAAAACCATTAACGATAAAATTTATTTCTGCAGTTCATCCATTACTTCATTACCTAATTAATTACAGACATAAAATATATTTAGTTCATTCAATAAACTCTATACCATGCGAATATAGTCATAAATGGTGGCATATAATCTTTACCCAAGCCTGTTGGATTTGTTGTGAAAGTATGTGAATGATTTCCTCCTGGTTCAGTTTGTCGAAAAGTCTTTTTTGCTGAATGGTTATAATCTGGAGATAAAACGTCATAGCCAGCTTCATACTCTGAGTTGTATAATGGGTGGTCTCTTAATGAGTGGCTATGGTCGCCAGAAAAGTTTGTAGTTCCTGTATGAGTGTGCGGTGGAAGGTTTGCTTCAGTAATTTTCTTCGAACCTCCTGTTTGCTTTGAATATCTAGCACAATAGAGGAATTTATCTACAATCTGTTCCCACATACCGAAACCTAAAACTTCTGAAGGATTTGTTGAGTTCATTGACGTATAAATAGAACCAATGGGGTAAATCATCTCAAGAATTGTATTTAATCCATTATGAATATTGAATTTATTATATAATATTGAATTTGGGTGAGTATTTAAAACTGGTCTTGTTATCAATATTAACGTATTATTTTTGAAAATTGCTTTTCTAACATTTTGAAATTTTGTGATTTCAGACCAGTTTCTTCCATCACTACTGATATTTACTAAATCACCACATCCTAAAGCAATGAAATACCCATCAATATAAAATAAATTTGTAAATCTATAATTTTGAGTAAGTTTTGGAGTGAATGAATAAACCAATTCCCAATTTGATAAATCCTGTGATAAATAAATATGTCTGTTATAACTTACAGGATATGAATAGACCATTTCACCTGAAACGAGAACATAAACATTTGATCCATAACATAAAGCTTCAATGTCTCCATCAGCTTGAAAAATTTGTTCAAATTGACCTTGTGATATTGAAGATGATCTATAAATTTTATCATTTTGTAGGATAAAATACATGTTGTTAATGTAATACCACTTACTTGTATAATCAATTTTCAAATCTGATGACATCATACTAAACATATAATAATTTATCCCATCCTCACTAATGAAAATTTGATTGACTTCATAAATTAGTACCCATTTATTATTAACACATCTAATAGGATTATTTGAATATTTAAATTTAGCATCTTGATTTAAATTACATTTGAACCATTGGATACAATCGAATGAATAACAAGGGCAAAAATCATCTTCAACCGTTATCATTCCCATAAATTTACCGTTATTATATTCAACATATAAAATTCTTGGATTAATGATTGGCTTTCGTGTATCAGGATTCAAAACAGATGGAGTAAATGATTCATAGTTTTTAAAATCATTTGTTTTAAAATAATAAAGCACTCCAGCTGTATAAAATAAATACATGGTCACTCCATCGAAACATCTCCATTCAAAAGAATCTATATCAAAGGTTTTATCTGATGATTTCATAAAATTTAAAAATGGCGGAGTAAAATAGACCTCTGATTGTTTTATTTCTTCATTAACAAATGATATATTAGCTTTCTTCTTTAACTCACTATCCACATATTCCTTATCTGCTTTCTTATTTAACTCATCGTTAACATATGTTTTATCCGCTTTAAGGTCTAAACATCCTGAAACCCATCCTGTATCGGCTTTAGTTTTTAAAATCTTTGATGTCCATTCATGATACCATTCAACCATTTCTTTAATTTCATTATCTTTTTCATCCACATATTCCTTATCTGTCCTCTTATTTAACTCACTATCCACATATTCCTTATCCACCTTCTTCATTATGTCATTTAGGAAACCTTCTATGAATTCCTCATTTAAATTAAATCTTCCAATCTTCAAAACTTTAGGAAATGCATTTAATGCGTAATATCTCTGTTCTTCTGGTGGAATTGATGTTATATCATCCGTTATTCCTTTAATTTTTGAATTCATAAATAAAATTTCTTTTATATTTGATATCACTGCACCACCTTTGCAAACGAATTCGAAATGGTCATTTTTCAATACTATCTCCAAATCTCCATATTTCAACCTTTGCGTTTGTTCTGCCGTCTTTGAATTATATGCATATATGGCGTATGTAATGGTCTGAAGGGACCTGGGTGCTTTGTGGCCTTAAGTTGTTGTGGTTGCTGTTGTTTAATCATTTATTATGATTTAAAAATAAATATTTAATCCGTTATCTCATCACCTATTTTTTCTATTTGAAATTGCCATAATATTTCATTCATGAATTCTAAATCACAATCAAATAGGTCAGTTATTCTAAATTTAATATTTGATAAATCTTTTGAATGAAGAATAAATGAATTCCCGGATAATTGAAACGGATATGATAAAGAAAATGTGTTTAAGTTGATGGATAAAATGTTTTGTATTGATGGGTAAGAGTTAGGGTCTAATGTTTGATGTGAAAATCTCATTGGGGTATTAACTTTATCACATTTGATTAAAATGAAATTGGAACCAGTGTCAGAATACAAAACATCCCCAACATCTTTTTCAAAATTTAATATCCCCAACAATGAACGAAGATGAGGAGTACAAAATTTAATTTTCAGCGGAAATTTAATAAGGTTATTTATTTCATCAAGTTCAAAAAGTTTATCGGGTTTTGATTTAAAATTTCTTCATACCATACGATAAATGATTCATTTAAATAACTTAAAATCGTGTTAATATCCCCATTTTCGCTATCATATTATTCATATACATATCATACGTTTTTTCATGGTCATCTTTAATAAATGATATATATAATCTGAAGGGTCTAAAAGAATGGGATTAAATTTCCACTCACAGAAACGAGAGTAACATTATAAATTCGCGCTAACTGTTAAATTAATTCACAGCTATTATTCGAAAATAATATTGATAATTGACATTTTTATTACGATTAAAAATATGGTAAAGCGTTATTTTCCAGTGATAAATAAAACTAGAATAAGATTACCTCAAGAATTCATAAATTCAACGAATAAGAAATTTATTCATGTTATAAATTTTAGTGTTTTCAGAAAATATGAGTCAGTGTCTTATTCATCAAACAGGTTATATTTCACTTCATTCAAATTTAGTTCAATCAAACCCATATAATGACCATTTCATAAGATTTTCAGATGGTATTAAAAATGTAATTGATAGATTAAAATATGAACAGATTGACAATATCGAATTTTTGGAATTTTGGTTTAAATATCCCGATGGAAAAAAGATTGAAGTTAAAGATAAAGCTGATACTATAACAAAAACAATTACAATGACCGATCCGGATAGTGGGAACAAAAAGAAATAAAACAAACGATAGAAACTGGTGAAAGGTCAATTATTATTGATTATGATTCAAAGGATTATTATTCGATAATGTTAATGCTTGAATATTAAATAGCCTTAACAAAGAATTTTTCAAGTGATATTTTATATTCATCGACTATTTTATTATAAATATTATTATATGTTAAATGAAGTTCAGTTGTTGTTCCATTCTTTGTTATCTTAATTGTGCTAATATCCTTTATAGGATTTATTTTTGCAACTATTCCGCAGCATGAAACCTCATCATCTATGAAAAATTGAATCTTAACGTCTGAATCTTGAACATCACAAAGAATGGCGATAATGTGAATTAATGATTCATAAGGTAAAATAATTAAACCAGATTGGTCAATTAAATTTATTATTGAATCATAATTATTAATTATTATATCACGGTAAATTTTCACTAATTCAGAATTAATGTCTATTTTATATGGGTTCTCGATGTTTGATGAAAGAGGTTGGGGGTATGTTGGATAAGTGGGAATTTCAACGGGTTCTTTACCGGGTTCAGATAAAATGATTGGGTCTCCATTCTCATGGTTTTCTTCATTCTCCTCATTCTTCGGTAAGTCACGAGTTAATAAATTTGTTGAGTTGCTGACCTTGTTAATTCAGGCTAACATTAACTTTACATTTGAATAATTCGTGATTTATCATCATTTACGTTATAACCAACCGTAATCTCTGCTTTTGCGTTAGTGTTCTTTTGACTAGTGAAACGTCTTCTCATTTATAATCGAATAAAAAAAATATATTTAAACTTTTATTTTGCTGGAACTTTTGAATCTATTATTCCCTGTATTTGTTCATGAAGTTGATTTTTAGCTGTTTCATCGAAATTAATAGACCGAATATATTCATTAATTGCATTCTTATAATCATCTGATTTCCAAATTTCTTTTATCTGATTCCTTAACTAAATCATAAGTTAAACCTCGTTGCTGATATAATGGTTTCTTAATTAAATCTTTGAATGCTTGAGATAAAGCACCTGATGCAATTCTTGCTACTATAATTGGTTGGAATTGCTGTTTAAGTTCATCTTTAACATTTGCGAAAACTGGATCGAATAAAGCAACTTTAAAGAATTTCTTAGCTGAAATTTCGGGTCTAATATTTGCATATTGACCATCAAACTGGTTAGAATATCGTGGTAATCCATCCGGTCCCTCTTCAATAGCATTTAATTCTTCATTGAAATAAGAATATGGATTATGACGGTATGAATTAATTGGACCATTTTCACCTTCTCCAATGTATTGTTTAAAGCAGCTTTTCCATTTTCATCAAATTGCATAGGATAACGTTCATTATATGCTTTACGTTTAGGATAATCAGATATAGTTAATTTATAACCATTTATGACTTTAATATTACCTTGACCATCAGTAACGAAAACTTCATTTATACCATCAGGTTTTCCATTTGGACCCGTAATGTCTGCTTCGTGTGCTTCCCAATTTGGACCATGACGTTTGGCATATGCTTGAGCTTCTGGTAATGTTAAAACGTTTCTCATTTGTTTAACATCTTTTTGAAGACCAGCAACAATATGAACTAATTCTTTCATTCCATCAGGAACTTTCATAGTTCTATTATATGCACCCCTTTTGTTTGTCCCTTGTTTAATGGAACCTGTAGAAGATTTGCTATTTCTGTCATGTTTAATTATAAATAAAAAATAAAAATTAATTATAAAAAGTTAATAAATTTAACACTTCCTTTATTTAAATCAACTATTATTTTTCCATGTTCACCTAATTGCTGATATTGTGTGTAAAGTTCATTAATGCTCATTGGTAAATTCACTTGATAAAGCATAACGTTCAACTGTTGACGACTAAACCCACTGAAAATGAAAAGTGTTGATAGATTTGATTTAATGTTTGTGCTTAATGCTTTGAAGTATTGAACAGCCATAAAGAATGAACACTGAATGTGTCGACATTGAGTTAATAACTGATTAAAATATGATTTCTCATTTGTTATTAGTTTTGATTTCACTGCATCATCTAGAAAAATGAGTGAATGCAAAAATTCTTTATCAAAATTTGAAATGGAAAGTGTTTCAAATAATTCATCCCGTTGTTTATCAATAATTTTATCCTCTAATCCTTGCTTCTTGATTGTATTTATATAAAAAAATAATCTTCTGCTTCTTCTTGTGATAAATAAATAATTGGAATTTTGATTAAATGCTTTAAAGATTCAAATGTATCATCTGAAGGTGAACCTGAACGGTTAATATAAATTAACACATGTGAATGGGGGGAAGTGTTAGCAATAATGATAATTTGTTTTAATATCGTTAATGTTTTACCTTTATTTTGTTTACCAATTGCTGCAGTGATTGAATTTAAGTAACATTCAGAATATGGAATTTTCATTAATTTTTCCTTAGATAGAGCATTTCTATTATCACTCAATGCTTCATTAATCATATCATCTACGTATGTATTATATACTCCCGCTAATTCTTCATAAGGGGTGGATGAATTTAAATCCATTTAATCAAAAATAAATTTATAATTTTAAACATTTCTATTCATCAATATTTCATCATATGAACTTCTATACTGCGGTGGTGTACCTGTTGGATGATATTTCAAACCTTCGTCCGGTGTCCATGTCCAATATGTAGTCCTAGTAAACCAAACCTGAGGAGGATTTGTCACCTTTGAACAGTAAGTGTCATTTTCACCCTGAACGATTGGATAAGCTTTCACTTGTACTGTAACTTGTGAGTTGAAAGTTTCTAATCCATCAAAGAATATACCCGCTCCATCACGTTGAACTGGAATAGTGCATAAGAATGAAGTTTGGTCTTTCCATGTTCTAGCTAATGGCTTGCCATTATCATCATTCAGTGGTCTAGTTAATGAGTCTCGTATTCTTCCGTGCATTCATTCACTCCATCTAAATCAGAAGCTTGAAGCATACGTGTAAAGAATATGTCACCCACTGTGGTCATCGCTTGATCGGGGAAGTTTCTGGAATCTATAGTGACCTGAAGACCTCGAAGCATTGGATTTTCTAAAACCGTTCTTTGCATTGCATTCTTCGGAAATGTTAACACAACATCTGTAACATTATGAAGAGCGTATGAGAAATCTGAGCTAATACCTTCAGGAGTGATGCAACCTCCATTTAGTGAACGAACGTCAATATGTTGAGCTGGAATCATGAATGGATCTTCCTTACTAAATAAACGTGGTATTGCTTTAACTGATTCTTCAATTAAACCGTATCCTGGTGTAATGCATTTATCCTCTAAAACTTCCATCTTTGTGCATGAAATAATAACGTCTTCAACTGTTGCGTCAGCAGATGTAGCGGCTAAGCTTGTAATTAATTTGGTAGGAAGTCCGATTTGTTGGAATTTGCGATCATATTTATAAACATGATTCATAATCTTTTCATAATTTTCATCAGTTATCTTTTCATAAACGTAATTTTGTAAATCAGCAACTCTTAACGGTCAACCTGACAAAATACTAAAGTATCCCTGAAAACATAATATTTAAGAATGATATCACCAAATGATTTAGGATAATCATCGAACGCCTGAAATGCTAACAAATCATTTACCGGAATAATCATATCAAAAGTGACATCAACTTCTTCATTTGCTTTCTTGAAAACTTCTGAAGGGTCAATATATTTACCACATACTGAGTTATCATATTTTTGAACATTATTATATAACGAATGAACAAACTTTTTAACTTTCCTTTCTGATTTTGGTTTATATGTTGCAAATGCGAAAGATTCACAGGCGCAATCCATCTGAAGATAACCGGCATCACCTCTTTCGGTTTCTACTTCTAATTGTTTAAAGCTTTGATTTGATGATTTGTAACCAACGAATAAACGCATGCATTTAAAAGCGGCATCACATGTGAAAGCTTTATTTGAAACTAGAGTTACTTTAACTTTGCGTTTAATATATGTGTCACCTAATTGGTTCACATCATGAGCTGGATTTGTAATTCTTAAATGAGTTTGTTTATCATCAAAATATGGAGCATCAGAGTCATAGCATGAACTTTCAAGTTCTCTATAATATCTTCTACCGTCATTCTTTGCGAATATTTCATTTATCTTTTCGAATGAATGAAACACATTTCCATTAATCGGTTTAGTGTTTGGCACCAAATAGTTAGTCGTCATTTATTAATAAATAAAAAATCAAAATTAAAAGATGAAAATGAATTTTTAATTTTAATGAAATAATCAACTATGGCTGCAGGTATATTTAAGAAACTGTGGGATAGAGTAAAAAGAGGGGCGAGTAAAGTTTGGGAAACATTGAAGAAGGGAGCAAATTGGATATTTAAGAATAAAGAAGCAATTAGTGACGTTGCTGAATCAATTACACCAAAAGCTGCCCCAATAAGAGAAATTTTAAATAAAGGAGAAAAAGTTTATCAAAGACTACAACCGATACTAAGATAAAAATAATTTTAAAATAATTTATTTTTCCACTATCTACCTCCTATTTTATTAAGTATTCCTTCAGCAATTCCACCAACTACGTTACCTGCTTGTGCTCCCATCGCCGGATTACCTGCTTTAGTACCTAATACTCCACCTATGATAGTTCCTGCCGTTTTCGCTACTGGTGCCAAAAAGTTTGCAACCGGTTTAATAATCTTTTTATAAACCCAACCCGCAGCTTTCTTAATTCCATCCCATAATTTTTTAAAGAATCCTGCCGCCATTTCTGATTTAATATTAATTAAAAAATATATTTCATCACTTATATTCTAATTTTTATTTAATGATAAATGAAACCGATTTTAAAAATAAATGAAACAGAGGAGGAAGAAATAAATGAAAGTGAAAATGTTCAACAAAAAATAAACGTTGTTAAACCAATTACTGAAATAAAAATTTTTTCATCTGTTGAAGAATTTAATGACTATTATGCTAATAATAAAAAATTATTTGAAGAATTGACAACATGTAAATTGAATAAAATGTTTAAAGTTGATGAATTCAAAATTTCAAAAATAAAGGGGGTGGTTAGTTTGAAATCTATTCCCCAATCAAGAATCACCTCATTAATGAAAATTTATGATTTAACAAAAAGAATAGAAGAGATTGAAGAAAGAATGAATCAAATAATTGATTTCATAAATTCAAATAATCATTAGTTTCTTAAAGTTCTATGTTGAACTCAATCTTCATTTGTTTAAGTTTATTTTTAAAAATTTTATTTCATTATTTCATTATTTTTTTATTTTTTATTTCATTATGTATGGGTTGAGTGTAAATGTCTTACAATTTTGAAAATTTTTTAAATCTTGATTTATTCAAAAACGTAAGAATAAAAACCGTAAGAATCATACATTTTTTACTTCATATGTTAAAAAAAATGATACAAAATCGTTCAATATCATATGAATTCTTACGTTTACAAAAAAGTCACACAACCCGTCATATCCACTACTTAAAATTTACATTTATTTATGAAATGTTTCGCAACCATAATTACTCTTCTGGTATGGAAATTGAAAAATCTTCACATCCAATAAAACACAGCTTTCAATTACAGTCAATAAAATTTTTCAAAGAAAATTATTTTTCAAAAAATAATGACAAAATGACATTAGTTTCAAATTACGCATGATATTTCTGCTGACAATAAAGTTCTCAATTTAGTTCTCAAATTTTTCAATGCATGGGACTTTGGCGAAAATCAAATTATGTTGGAGAAAGGCCATTATTTAAAATTATCCATTATTTATATCGACATTGAAATAAAATTATATTAAATCATTTCTTTTCATGATCAAATACTTGAACTATTCATTGAGCACCAATAAAATGATAGTAGCAAAGGACAAGAGTATTGAAGCAATGCGCCAAACAGTGAGAGCATTCGAAAAGTTTATCGAGAAACTTGAAAATGGTCAAAATAAAGTCAATAAAGAGAAAAACCAACTCTTAGGAATACTTAATCAGTGTGATATTACCCCTTCTTTGGATGAAGGCATGAAATCATTTGTTCTCAATGATACAATTCAATACAAAAAATACATAAAATCTGCAAATTCATCAAAAAATCGTTTATTCCTAGTCTTGAAGACATAATTGAAAACTATGAATCTTCCTTTTCACAGTCATACGACCGACTTTCTCAATTCATATCCAATTTTAACCTTTCTAAAGAAAACTTAGAAGCGAAAGAAGAACTTCATAAGGAATTAATCACAAGAATAGAGGATACTTATCAGAGTACAAGAATGAAAAATTATTCTGAAGTGTTGAATCATGTTGTTTACGAATACAGGCCATTCGCCAACAAAATTAATGATTCAATCGAAGCATATAATGATGAGTTGAATGAACTCTATAAAGAATTTGATAATTTCTCCTATAAATTTGAAAAGTTAGATAAAAAACGCGCAATTCATTATAATTACCTCTTACAAGATTTAGAAACATACATTAAAAATATTCAACGATCGGCCGAAGATGTAGTTAGCGAAAGATTCGTTACAATGAATCAAATTGATGCCAGAAATGATATTTCTACGAGTTTCACATTTGATTCAATCGATGACTCAACAAAGATTCCAGAAATTATGCCGGAAATTACAGTTGACTTCGACATTCGTGATTATTTAGAAAGTGACCAAATTTTAATCACAATGCAATCACAAGAATACGCAATTACAAAAGTAGAGATAAAATATGGTGGAAAAATACTTGCCTCTCCTAATGAAAGGATTACAGTATTTAAATATAACAAAAAAGTATATTTGGTACATGATTCTAACAATCTACTTAAAATTCCATTAAAACCTAGTGATTTAATATTCAAACCCGAATACGTTAGATATATAGCTAAAGTTCAAGGATTTGAAAATTTTGATGAAAGGCAGGTTATTGTTGTTAACTCCGGAGATGTTTGCGAGTGTCTCGATGAGTTTGGAAATATCAAATAATATTTATATATTGCTTCTTTATAAAAAAAATTAATCAAAGGAGGGATGGAACTCAATGGAGAGATTGAGTTCCAAAGAGTGATGGATCTCAAAAGACTATGTAGAGAGTAAGACTGAGTAGAGAGTAACTAGCATTATAGACTCAGACTGAATCAACCATTTGAAACCATATGATTATGAGCTTATGTATCAGTTAATCATAATGATTTCAGCTATATTTTCTGACAACCCAAAAAATCTTTATCTAATTTTGATGGATTTGCTTCATAAATATGCATTAATAGCTTATGACTGTTAGATCTAATAACTTAGATTCTCAAAATTCCTGGAAAAAGTCAAATAGTCTAGAGATAAGACAACCTAACTGACTATATATTGCAATAAAAAGTGACAATTCTGAAATTATGGGACTTTTATATTTCCCCAAGGAAATGTCCTTGATACAGTCAAAAATCCAAACATGTCTGATAACGACATGCTACAGTAATTTAATTATCATGATATAATTAGATGATTGTTTAAAAATTAATTAAAAATTAAATGTTTAATTCTGGGGTTTATGTAAGATGTCAATTCCATACCATTGTGTATAACAATACTTCATTTTTCCTTTACAGCATAACAATGATTAATGCATGCTTCATATTCTTCCATCAAAAGTTCGATTTCTTTTTCATTTGTAAACATTAATGAATTTTCTGCCTCTGAAATAAATTCCTTCTGGATCCTTTCATCGATATTTAATATTTCATCATTAAATTCTGATGATGAAATCCGAAAATCCTGGACTAACTCATCATAAATATTATATAATTCTTCATCATACTCTTCTAATACTTTCAAATAGACATCCATATTAATAATATCTTGATTTTTGAGATATTGACGTAGAACAAAAACTATTAAGGTTGTTCCAACCTTAAACATAATTTTGGGGCAATGTTCGATTGTTGTAATGATCATTTCTGGAATTTCTTCATAAGTAAAGAAGACCATGATTTTTGAATCAAGCTCATAATTGTCTAATATTAGGATCCTGTATAGTAAATAAATACAACACTTTGAATTTGTCCATTTTAATTCTTTTGTAATGAATTTTTTGATTATTTTTATAATAATGTAAATTGAATACTCAAATATATCTGAAGTTGAATTGATAAAGAAAGAAAGTGCAAATTCAAAATCAATGCTGTTATAATTACATAAATTGTAAATAGCTGAAGAAAAATCATTAGAATCTATGGAATTTAATAATATATCTGGCGAGAACTTAATTAAAAGGAGTAGAGTTTTACAACAATTATTGCAAAATAGATTGTTTGTAATTGAAGTCAAAATTTTTTTATTTTGAAAGTATGATAGAATTGAATTGAAATTTTCTTTATCCCAATAAAATAAAAGAGCATTAAAAATGGAAAATATTTTATCCATAAAGGGATACTTTTGTATTTGAGTCGAAATGTTTTCAATGTATAAATTTATTAATTCTTCAATATATTGCTCGGGAACAGGACAAATTTGCCACACGGCACTTTTTTTTAAAAATTAATGGAACGGAGCGATACTCTGCTGCAGGAGCCCCAAGGCTCCCAATCATTACGAAAGGGAGCCTCAGGGCTCCTGAGAATCCATCAGCAGAGGCCTTTTCATTTGGCCTCTGCTGATCAAAGATTCGGCGAAGCCATTCTTCGTCTCAGGAGCCCCAAGGCTCCCAATCATTACGAAAGGGAGCCTCAGGGCTCCTGAGAATCCATCAGCAGAGGCCTTTTCATTTGGCCTCTGCTGATCAAAGATTCGGCGAAGCCATTCTTCGTCTCAGGAGCTCCAAGGCTCCCAATCATTACGAAAGGGAGCCTCAGGGCTCCTGAGAAACCTCTTTGAGAAGGTTTTCTTAAAGAAAACCTTCTCAAAGATGATTGTCAGCATTCACTCAAAATCTACCAAGAGTTTCAAAGTTTCAAATCTATCTGAAATGAAGCTTTGAATCTATTGTATATCTAATTGTAGAGGTACCTTTTCAAAATGTCTTCTATTGATTAAATTTAATCAGTAAAAGTCATTTTGAAAAGGTACATCTCTATAATTGCTATTGAGCATTCACTCTTGGAACCTTGGAGCTCTTGTGTAGTGCATGAAAACTCCAAGATTCTAGCATAAAACATATATCATAGACATAATTTCTTCAAATATAATTTAAGGTTATTTTTTAAAAAAATGAGAAAACGTAATTTAAGGTTATTGAAAAGTGACACTTGGCAAATTTGTCCCGCACTCATATTGCTCCTCAATTTTGTGATCAACTTTGATTTTATTAGAAATCAATATAAATAAAAAATCATAGAGCCACTCACGATCCGCAATTATAATATAATCCAACAAATGCTGGATTATAATATCAAAATTATCAATAATGTAATGAATTGATATTTTATCTTTAACAGATAATGCATAAATAAGAAGTAACCAAGAGTTGTAGAATTTGTCTTTTAATCCACTAAAGTTTTTATCAATTTCACTTTCAATTAAAACATCCGGAACATTATAATATTGATTTGAATGTTCTATGTATGGCGATATGTGATTTAAAATATCAGTATCTGATGTTATTTGAATTGATTGAAAAATGTATTGTAACATTTGTGAAAAATCAGTATAATCGAATTTTGCCATGGAAGAATTTAGCATATTTAAATCTTTGGGACATTGATCTAAAGGTAATGACTTATAATCATCTTCCATTCAAGTCTAAAGCAAAAAAAGGAAAAACGGTCCGGCCAAATAAAGATTTAAGTTAAAAAAAGATATTAATATATAGGGTGTCCAAAGGTGTGTTTAGCACAAACCTGAATACTGCGAATAGAAATAAACAAGTTACATATATATAAAGTTTATTTAAATATAATCACCATTGGATTCAATCACGCGTTCGCAGCGATCGATCCAGGCTTGAAAGACACGCTTTAAATCATCATGAGAAAATTGCTCAAATTGCTCTCTTACAAAATTTTCAAGATCATCTGGACTCGCGAATTCGCGTCCTTCAGCTCTCTTTTTTAGCGTGCCGAATAAATAAAAGTCAGAGGGTGCAATATCAGGTGAATAAATTGGGTTTGGAACAACTTTGACATTGTTTTCCACCAAGTAATTCATTACCTTATGACTTTTGTGAACTCTTGAATTATCAAAATGAATTGCAAACTTTTGTTTTTGTTGTTTGGATTTCTCAAACTCATCAGAATTGATAATTTGAGTAAGAACATTGTCAATTAGATACTGAGCATTCATCGTATTAGGTTTTTGAAGAATATCAATTGCGATGATGCCATTCACGCCCCAAAAAACCGACAGCATCATCATTGGTGTGTCAATTTTTTTCTTCGGGAATGTTTGCGGATTTTCATCCTTCGGGATCCACATGATTTTGGCTTCTGTTGCATATTGAAACCAAGACTCGTCCCCTGTTACTAAAAAGCGAAACTTCTTGGATTGATACGCACCCAATATAGAGAGGCGCTTTTTCGAAGATTGGACTCTAGATTTTTTTTGAACTGAATTAAGGTTGTGCGGAACCCAACGTGTATACGCTAGTTTGTAGTTCAAATAATTGTGCAGATAATAACTGACTGTTGTACGTGGTATCTTTGTCATCTCCTCTATCCTTCTGAGTGATGCTCTTGGGTCTTCATCTAGCACTTGAAGAATTGCTTTGATTTTTCTTTGATCCGGCGATTTTTTGTCAATTTTTATGATGGGCGCCTTTTTGTTCATGAAGTGATACATCCTAACATGATACGTTACAGTGGAATAGCTAGGAGCATCCATACCGAAGCATTTTACCAATGTCTCGTAGATTTTTTACAGTCTTTGCATTTTTTTGCAAGAGCGAGGATGTTTTCTTTATGATTCATTAAAAAAATGAAAAAAATCCCGCCAAAATTTCCCGCGAAACCGCCTCTTGTCTCAAAATTCATTTTATATCCCGGCATGGCGCCAAAATACAACATACTCATCATATACATATATTCATATTTTTTATTATATATTTATAATCAGCATATATCTCCTTTAATAGTCTCATATAGAGCGCTGTGCTAAACGCACCTTTGGACACCCTATATATTAAGGTCATAATTTTAGTATATTTATAATAAATATAAGTTGTTTTGGTAAACTTGCACTTAGAGATCAGCATCGAAACAAAAAGTGCAAGATTTTTACGAAAAGAGCTTACAGGTGTAATAAATATAAGATAGGATTACACACGTAAGCTCTTTTCGTAAACTTGCACTTAGAGATCAGCATCGAAACAAAAAGTGCAAGATTTTTACGAAAAGAGCTTACAGGTGTAATAAATATAAGATAGGATTACACACGTAAGCTCTTTTCGTAAACTTGCACTTAGAGATCAGCATCGAAACAAAAAGTGCAAGATTTTTACGAAAAGAGCTTACAGGTGTAATAAATATAAGATAGGATTACACACGTAAGCTCTTTTCGTAAACTTGCACTTAGAGATCAGCAGTAGTAGGATATGAAGGGTTTAGTGACTTTTTTTGTTACGTCTATATATAGATGAAGGTATATTTTCACATCTTCTATATATAGATGATATAAAAATTTTTTCTTACGCTTTTAGTAGTATATGTGGAAGGGTTGTGAGACTTTTTTTGTTACATCTATATATAGACGATGCATTAAAATATATTTATTTATAAACCATTAAAAAAAATTAACATTAATTTTAAAATAATTTATTTTTTTATCTTTTATAAAAGAAGCTATATATAGATGATGTCAGATATTCCGCCATTAATTAAACATTGTTGAATAACTGAATGGGTTAAACTTCTTACGAAAAATTAAAACTTAGTTATGTTTATTATTTTATTTTTTTATTTTGTATGAAATGAGTGTCAAGACTAACGACGTTAAAAAATTAGGATTCACAAACAGGGAAATAAAGGATATATTAGAGGAGGCGGGTTATGAGGTTGATAAATATTATTTAAGAAATTGTCAAAAATTCGCGGAGTTTTTAAATGAGTTTGATCATGATGGAAAAATGAATAAAGATGATGTTATAAATTTCTTATATCCCACATCTAAAAAAGAAGAAAAACCTAAAGAACCTGATGTTTTCCCTGAATATTATGAAGAACGAATTAAAGATGATGAATACGATGAAATTGAAAGACTGGAAAAAATAAGAGATGAAATAGATGAAAAAATTAAGGAATTAAGAGAAGTTGAAAAATATAATGAAAATGAAGTAGAGGGTTTAATGAATATCCCAGCTTCAGAATCAGAAGTACAGAAATCTCATGAAGAAAGATATAAAAATTATGTCTCAGAATCAACACAAAATTTATTAGATGGTGAAATAGACGAAACACTTTCAGAAGAAGGTACTAAATTTATTCGTAAACATAAGTTACAATTTATTGATAATGAAGAATACCCTTGTATCCTACTTTCACCACCTTTAGATTCCGAAAAATTCAAAAAAGCTCTTAGAAACGTGACATATGCAACTAATACGATTAAGAAAGAAGATCATGATATTTACACAAATTATTATTTAAATAAATGCACGGGTGTTGATAAAGTTTTTGATTTATTAGATAAAATATCAAAAGAAACCATTGGAACATATAAAATTTTATGTGATTGCGGTTTCATTGTTGAAGATACCAATAATGTTTCATATGAAAGAACAGCACCGAAGGAAGACGAAGTTGAAAGGTCCATACCATTCGTTATTAAGAACATAAAAGATATGAAAACTTATAAACATTATATTTATTCATTTATTTCAGAAAAAATGGAAGCAACCCATAAAACATCTTCTCATCATTTTATAGCTATTCATACATTCCTTTTCAAAGTTGTGAAATTAAATAAGACAGGAATTAGATTTAATGTATCAGGGTACGCATTCTTGAGTAAATTAAAATGTATTCGTCACGTCGCAGATGATAAAAATTTATGTGTTCTTAATTCATTTTATGGACTTTAAAAAATAAACTTTATTTTTATTTATTTTTTAATTTTTATTCTTACATAAATGAACAAAAACGGAACAGCTAAAATGAATGATAATCAAATTAGAGCAGAAGGTAGAAGGTTATTTAAACGCTTCTATAACATTCCTGATGGTGTTAATCCTAAAACTCGTAGAAGCTATTTAAATGAAGCAATAGATGCATATGAAGGTTTTGACATTTCATCAGAAGGTGAGAGATTAGCGAGAATGTTAAATGTTAATATTGATTTCTATTATTGTGATCCTCAACCAGAAGACGTGGACATAAATAAGGTAGACTTTCCATTAGTGGAATCAATAATGATAGATCCAGAATTTGAAACAGTAAATATTTTATTAACACAGAGTCCATGTGGAAAACTTCACGCTGACAGAATAACAGACGTTGAAGCACTCACCGGCTATAAAGTTTGTTCATTTTGTAAAGAAGAAGTTTATTCTATCCGTGATGATCCAGAAAGGAAAAACCAAAGAAGATTTTTAAAACATTGTGAGAAATGTAAAGAAAATAATGGAAGATTAATTCAAGACGTTCAATTGCAAAAGACCCAGCAACCATATGCACCACATATTACGAAACAGAAGATATATCAGTGGTTATTAGCTCACAATTTGCAGGAATATTATAAACCGACAAGATATTATATTACTTTTGACTTTGAAACATTAGAGACTAAAGAAGAATTACAACTTTTTGAGTGTGCAACTTTGAACGCTTACTTAAAACCATTCATGGTGTCATCAACGGTTAAATTAAATGATAAAACATATACGAGGAATTTTTGCTTAACTTCGAGTGATTCTTTTATTTCTGATTGGATTGAGTTTTTATTTTCAACCTGTTCATTAGTTGCTAAATCAAATATTGAACAATATGAAGAATTATTGAAGCCGCAAACGGCGGGGACTTTGTCTCATACATTAAATGAAAAACAGAAGGAAGCATTTAAAGAACTTCTAGATGAGGAATTCAATAAAGTGAATATCATAGGTTTTAATTCGGGAAAGTTTGATTTAAATTTAATTCTTCGTGATTTAAACACTGCAAAATGGAAAATAAAATCAATGCTGGGTTCATCTTCACAATTTAAGCAAATCATTGTAAAGAAAACAAACGTTCCATATGAATTGAGATTTATTGACATCAGAAATTATATAGCGGGTGGGACATTAGACCAATTCACTCAAGATTTCGGAAGCAATAAATCACGTGTTAAATCCTTTTTCCCTTATCAATTCATCACGTGGGAAAATTACGAAGAAGAATTATATAAAGTGGAACCATTCACTCAAGATTCATTTTATTCAGCATTAACTCAAGAAACTATATCAGATAGTGATTATCAAATATATCTCAATGATGCTAAAAATTTTAAGAATAGATTAGAATATTTTATTCATTATTGCAATAAAGATGTTGAAATTATGATTGACCCAATTGATAAAATTATTGAAGAAACATTTGTTTATAAAATTGACACACTTCATAATCTTTCTTTATCATCGAATGCTTCAATGATTCGTTACGCTTTAGCATATAAAGACTTTAATCCTAATGAAAAATATCCTGAGGAAGAGATAGAATCAAGTTTTGAATTAATGAAAAAGTATTGGAAATATAAAATTGAATCATATAAGAAACAAGATGAAAAAGCAGAAAGAGATACTAAAAATAATGTTTCAATGGATGATTTTCAATACTATCATGATTTAATCCTTTCATCTAAATGCAAAATGTGTGGTAAAGCGTTTACATATGCTAATAAACCAACATTGGATAGAATCGATAATGAAAAACCACATACCAAAGAAAATTGTCAGTTAATGTGTTGTTATTGCAATGTCATAAAATCAAATAAATATGAAGATGTTCAACGTTTAAGAATCAATTTAAGAAATTATGAATAAAAAATAATTTACCAATGACTTTAGATTCAGTTGAAGCTTATCACATTCTCCGTAATGGAATTACTGGTGGTCTATCAAATGTTCAACATCGTGTTAATCTTAAAGGAATCACGCACATTAATAAACTTTCATATAATCCAGAAACTAAAACTGTATCAAATGAGGACACCACCAACATTATGACTCATTTCGTTGGTGTTGACTTTAATTCATTATATCCTTCATCATTTTCATCTAATCCTCATGATTTCATTCAATATACTGACCATAAAATGTATATGCCGGGAAGATTGAATGGTGTTATCATTTGTGATACAGCAACAAAGAAAGCAAAAGCATTGGGAATAATTAAGAAGAAAAATACTTTATTCGTGGCTGAAGTAAAGGGTCACATTGATGAAAAATACATTAATGATTACATAAACTTTTTACCGATAATAAGAAACTTAGATATTATCACAGATGAAAAAACAATTGGCAGTTTTATGTATAATTACATGAAATCAAACAATCTACCAGTTGACCAGAAACAGAGAAAATTAACTCAGTTAGCATCAACACACAACCAATATCAACCATTTTCTTCTTATTATCTTTGGTATCTAATAGACAGATTTCATTTTATCATCGATGATATTCAATCAATTTTAACATTTACTAAAAACACTTGCTTTAATGAATTTGCGAACGAATTTATGAACGAAAGACAAAAGGCTGAATTAGAAGGAAATAAAGGAAAAAGTTTATTTTGCAAGATTTCACTTAATGGATCATATGGTTACGATGCAATGAATACACAAAATTACGCAAAGACTAAAATAATGAATGCACAGAAGGCACGCGTTGCATGTATGTCAAATAAGTTTAAAAACATAAGAGAAATAGGTGAAGATACGTATCAAATGATGCTCAAAGATAGATTTTATAGATGTGATACATGTTTACAAGAGGCATTCTTCACTTTAGATAATGCTAAATACTGGTATTTGGTTTTCATTTATGATTTTATGTATAAATGCATGAATGTTAATCGTTTTCATTTCATTGAAGGTGATACTGATTCATCTTATTGGGCAATCGCTGGTGATCCAAATCTTCCTAACACTCAAGCATTTCAAGCAATTGTTACTGATAAACAATTTTATGATAAAAACATTTTCAAATTCGCACCATTTGATTTCTGCTGTTTTGATGAGAAATTTAAACCTAAATTAAAGAATAAAGCTGAAGAAAAAGCACATGAGAAGAAGTTATTGGGTTTAGCAATTGAGAAACAAGGTGATAACATGGTTGCTTTATGCCCCAAGTGTTATACATCATTCAACGGTTCAATTGATGGGGGTGATTTTAAAAAGATTGCACAAAAAATGAAAGGTGTTAGTTTACGACAAAATAAACAATTAACACCTAAAAATTATTTGGATATAATAAATGATAAAGTGATATTTGATGGTCAGAATATTAATTTACAACTTAAAAACGGATTAATGACTCGCTTAACAATTGGTAAGACTGCATTAACAGGAGCACACACTAAGGCTGTATGTTGTGAAAATGGATGTTGTATGCCGTTTATTTAATAAAATGCCACAGAAGAGACAAAAGGAACCGTTAATAATGGTTTTGATTCTTGATCAAAGAGGTGGGCGCCCTTAAAACATTTATTTTATTTTTATATAAATGGATAATGTAGATTTAAAAATTTTAATTGATGATTTAGTATTTAATCAAAATTTTCTTACTTATTATGAATTAAAAGCATATCTCCAAAAATATGATGAAAATATAACGGGTGATGATATGGATTATTATTATTCATATTATAAAAATGAAATTTTGAAATATCATGATAAAATAATTTCTAAAATTAAAGACAAAATTAAAAATAATGAATATACAAAGGGAAAAACTAAATCACAACTTAAACAATTGAAAGATTTCAAAAATAAAGTATTAACAGAAGAAGATATTGATGAATTATATAAATTATATAATCCTGAGCTGCAAAAAACAAAGGAACAAAAGTATAGATCCGTATTTTTCCCAAGTGAGGGGGGTATCTCTAATCCCAGCCCTATCGTCCTCCCAATGTCAGTTTTTAATATAAAATCCAAAATTTTTTAAAAAAATAAAAATTTCGAGAAATTTTTTAAGTTTTTTTTCTTTGATTTCAATAATACAAAATAAATTTGGGAGTAAAAAGACACTATTTAATGAAATTCATATGAGTGAGTGTGGATAAATACACTCAGAACATACAATTTATATATTTTTTCTTTATGTTATCAACTAATTAGTGATAATTTTTTTTGAATCAGATTTTTTTTTCATTAAAAACATAATATATAACGCAATAATGATGTACACATACGTATCTACACATCAAAATATAAAGTTTGTTTTGGTCTGGGCATCCCAACCAAAAATTCTTAAAAAATTGAATAAAATTGAATACTTGGGGCTGGGATACCCAGCCCGAAACCGAATTGAATTTTTTGAATTAAAGAATATATTTACGTATTTATAATATATATGTGATGTTTATAAAAAATACTAAATTTTTGTAAAAAAAATTCAATTTATTCAAAACGTACATTAAGTGATCACTTCATTAGTAGGATCAGCGATCCTACTAAATGGTGAGAATGCCACTAGATAAAAAGGGAGTCCTTGGAGCTCTTGATCTCTTGTCAGTAGAGTCCATAATGAGGCATGGCATCTACTGATTAGAGATCAGAGCAATCCTACCTTATCTTCAGGAGCTACAAAGCTCCTAATCGTTACGAGAGGGAGCCTTGGAGCTCCTGAAGCTCATCAGCAGAGGCTATTTACCATTTGGGCCTCTTCTGATGAAAGATGCGAAGCTCTTCTACGAACCAGGAGCTCCAAAGCTCCTAATCCTTACGAAAGGGAGCTTTGGAGCTCCTGAGTCTTCATCAACAGAGTCCCAGATGGTAAATGTCCTATGCTGATGAAAGATGCGAAGCACATCTTCGAACCAGGAGCTTCAAAGCTCCCATTCCTTACGAAAGGGAGCTCTGGAGCTTCTGAAACTCCTTTTATTATCAGATAGGACAGTTTTCTTCTGAGGCTTCTCATCAAATCTAAGACTTCAGAAGAAAGCTGTCCTATCCGTGTATACTTACATTCTAATTGACTACAAGTGTACAACTTTAAGGCAGAGATTATCCGAGGCCTCTCATCAAATGAGGGACCTCGGATAATCTCTGCCTTAAGTAGTCAAATAACTTTTCTGACTATTCAGGAACAAGAGAACAAGAGTTGGAATACTTTAAGGCAAGGTTCTTCCGAAATCTCTCATCGAATGAGAGACTTCAGAAGGACCTTGCCAAATCCTTGAACACTGATATCCTTAGAACTGAGCTAGGACCAAGGAGAAGTAGTGTACTATAGCTCACGATGGTAATCTCGGAATTACTTATATTGCCACATGCACAATATCTATTCAGCCAGACTCCTATATACAAGAAGTCAGGCTGAATAGATATTGTGCATATGGTTTGCAGAACTCTAATAACACATAAAATTTTGTTATCCCAAAAAGGTGACATTTTGGGTGTATCGTCCATCCCAGGGATGCAAAAATCACATCACCTTGTATCTATAACAAAAGCTAAAAGTGCAAAACGCCCAGGTCATTCAGACCATAAATGAAGCACAAGCTTTAATTTATGATTCATTAGTTAAACCACATTCAGCCCGACTTTTAAATGAAGATCAACTTTTGGAATTCATCCTTCAACATAAACTCGAAGCGGGAAAGTATATCAAACCTTTATATACAGCATATTTAAAACAAATGAATAGAATACATCCGGAATTAATGAAAGGAGGAATGAAATCCAAAACTTCATCATCCAAAATCAAAGCAGATAAAATTAAACCACTTGCAACCCCAAAACCTCCAACAGTAGTACCTCCTCCTTCAGTTAATCCTTCATCATTCACTTTATTATATCCATTTCAAACATTAAAGAAGCAAAAAGATTTTAAAAAGGATTTCAAGATATTAAATAAACCAATTGACCCAAAAATTCAACCGTTAAAGGAAAAATTTGGTCGCCCTTCATTTGCACCATATCCATATTCATACGAAATCGATCATTTAGAATATTCAAAAGGAAATGTTACTTATTTATTTGCCATTAACATTAACACAAGATATTTATATTGCATTCCGGTGAAAGGGAAAACAGAACAGGAAACAAGAAGAGCTATTCAATACTTACTAGATCATGAAAGAGTAGATAATATCAGGGGTGATGGTGATAAAGGATTTCAGGCAGCTATGGCTCATTATTTCCCACAAATTAATTTTTACTTCTCATCTTCTCCATATACGTTTCATAATAAAATAGTTGATGCGGTAATGAGAACTCTTAGAGATGCGTTAGGGGTTAACGGTCAGATATACTGGGATGGAAATCATGACTCCATCATACAGCAGTTAGTATATTATTACAATAATACATGGCATAGAACTATAAACATGAAACCGGTGGAAATGAAAAATGATATTTCAAAAGAATGGGAATATATTAGAAAGCAAATGGAAAGGTTAAATGATGTTAAACATGAACAAATTAATTCGGGGCTCATGAATTTTAAACAAGGGGATAAAGTTTTGATTCATCTCGATTATGGAAAAACTGATAAATCAATGACAAAAAGAAGACGAAGATTTGACACAATAGCTGAATTTGTTAGATATATTAACGGTAATGTATTAGTTGAGGTTAACAATATATTAATAGAAATTCCGATTTATTTTATTACTTCATTATATTTAAATAACATTTAATTTTTTTATTTCGTAAGAAATGAGTGACAACGAAGCAGCCAAGAGTCCAGACGATGAATATAAAAAGAAACTAAACAGAATTAAATCAAAAATATGCTATTACAAAAAGAAGCCGCAATGTGGTGGGGTTGAAAACGATAAAGAGAGGAAAGAAATAATCGAAAAATTAAAAACTTACCGTTCAATCCTTAAACTGAGTGAAGCAAAAATAAAAGAATTTAATAGAATAAATAAATTGATTGGAAGAGATGAATTTAATAAAGATGAATTTTTAAACTCAATCCAAATTTAATTTTTATTCCTCATCTTCTCTGTTTTTCGTGGTTTGTTGTTTTTAATTTTTCGATTATTTTTTTCCTCCCTTGTTATGATTCGTGGTAAATTTTGAGCTTGTGGGGTATTCATTCATATAAAAATAAAATTTGATGTTATCGTTATTTTATCATTAATGGTTTCAGGTTATTCAATAATGAATTATTTTTGAATAACTGATGAAGTCACCGGGTCACCAGGTCACCAGGTAATTTAACTTCTCTGAAAAAATGAGACAACATGACATTTTGACAACAGGTATGAAAGGAGGATGGTATTTATTAATTATTTTTGAATAACTGATGAAGTCACCGGGTCACCAGGTAATTTAACTTCTCTGAAAAAATGAGACAACATGACATTTTGACAACAGGTATGAAAGGAGGATGGTATTTATTAATTATTTTTGAATAACTGATGAAGTCACCGGGTCACCAGGTAATTTAACTTCTCTGAAAAAATGAGACAACATGACATTTTGACAACAGGTATGAAAGGAGGATGGTATTTATTAATTATTTTTGAATAACTGATGAAGTCACCGGGTCACCAGGTAATTTAACTTCTCTGAAAAAATGAGACAACATGACATTTTGACAACAGGTATGAAAGGAGGATGATATTTATTAATTATTTTTGAATAACTGATAGGGTCACCGGGTCACCAGGTCACCAGGTAATTTAACTTCTCTGAAAAAATGAGACAACATGACATTTTGACAACAGGTATGAAAGGAGGATGGTATTTATTAATTATTTTTGAATAACTGATAGGGTCACCGGGTCACCAGGTAATTTAACTTCTCTGAAAAAATGAGACAACATGACATTTTGACAACAGGTATGAAAGGAGGATGATATTTATTAATTATTTTTGAATAACTGATAGGGTCACCGGGTCACCAGGTCACCAGGTAATTTAACTTCTCTGAAAAAATGAGACAACATGACATTTTGACAACAGGTATGAAAGGAGGATGGTATTTATTAATTATTTTTGAATAACTGATAGGGTCACCGGGTCACCAGGTAATTTAACTTCTCTGAAAAAATGAGACAACATGACATTTTGACAACAGGTATGAAAGGAGGATGGTATTTATTAATTATTTTTGAATAACTGATAGGGTCACCGGGTCACCAGGTAATTTAACTTCTCTGAAAAAATGAGACAACATGACATTTTGACAACAGGTATGAAAGGAGGATGGTATTTATTAATTATTTTTGAATAACTGATAGGGTCACCGGGTCACCAGGTCACCAGGTAATTTAACTTCTCTGAAAAAATGAGACAACATGACATTTTGACAACAGGTAGGATTAATGTAAAAATAAATTCAAATCATACTTTATAAAGCTTCATTTACAGGTATTTCATCGTCAGTAAATGAATCCTCATTATCGTTTGGTTCAACCTGTTTATATAATCCTTTCATTTCTTCTTTCAAAACATAATACCATGTCTGTTTACCATCTATTTTTCTTTGTTTCCTATCACATTTATCCTTAATACTCATTTGGAAATTCTTGTCTTTCATGTCTGATGGTTTGCAGAATAGAGCATTTTTACACGTCATACCTGCACACAATTCATCATAATGTGTATTTATCCATACATCTAAAGGATTTGTTGATAATTCAATTAAATCTTGTTTGGCTTCAGTCATCGGTATGATTCGTACATTAAATGATGAAAGGTCATATTGCATAAAATACGTCAGTAAATTATCATAAAATTCCTTTGTGCATGAATTCATCAAATTCTTGAAATAATCAAATTGACCCTTAAATTTACCATTAACTCTTAAAACTACATATCTTCTGTCTCCAACTTCAATTTTGACAGGGTAAACGTTATTAGTTACGAAAATGAAGTTTGCAACGTTCTGAGCAGTTCTTCTGGGTTGATTCTTTTCATTAATTCTTATCTCATTATCCGTTATAATTGATTTCAAAGCGTTGAAGTTTGCGAGTCTGTCTTCACCTACATTCTTGAGTTCATTAAGTACAAGAAACATTTTATTCTCAACTACTGAATTGAAATTACCCGTTAACTCACCTATTTCAGTAATGTTTTTGCATGAATAACCGGCGAGAAGTTCAGAAATAATGTCTGTAAATCTGTTTTTACCTGTTCCCTGAAGTCCTTTCAAAATAATTGCTGTTTCATTCTTGATTCCAGGATGTTGAATCATTGATGCAATCCAGCCGAGAAGGTATTTATACACTTCATCGTTATTATCACAAATGACTTCTTTAATGAAATTCATAAACATTTCAATTTTTGAGTAATCTAGTTTTTCGAGAATGTTGTATTTATAACCTTGAAACGTTGAGAAAACATCGGGGGAATCAGATTTAAAGCAAACACCCTTAACGGTTAATGAAGACAATTGATTTAATAGTACATCCCATGCTGTTATTGTTTTACCTTCTTCTTTAAATAATTTAATCATTTTGAGTGACTCTTTCATGTTTGATTGAAGAAGGAATGATATTTGATTCATTTTGTCGTGGATATTATAGTCCTTTTGAATGAAATATTTATTTCCACAATCTACAAAACGGATTACACGTGATAAATCCTCAATTACTTCAGAACTGTTTTTATACTGATGATTTTCAGCCTTGCGTCTAATATCTGTTATCAAAAACGAGTCATCAAGTTTGATATCAAATGTTATTTTTGGCTTACGTAATAAAGGCAAAACATATTCATCATAATATTCCTTTTGATATAGTTTTAGAATCTTCACTAAAACAAATGGAGAAGTCATTAAATGTGCATATCTACTACGTGCTTTTTCAAAATTACTTTTTGCATTTTCTGTTAAACTGCAGAAGTTATAAACGTTATCGTAGGCTTCATTAATTAAATGATTAGGTAACGAATTAATAGCTTGAAACAGTGTGAATAATGTTATTTCTTTTTCTAAATTCATGTTTCCACCGTCATTATGTACTTCAAAATCATAGATGCCATCAACTATGCTCTGGGCAAGTTTATCGTCAATGTTTACATCTTTGTTTTCATTCATTATACTCTTTATTTCTTCGTTCTTCTGTTCAACTCTTACCTTAATATTCAAATCATTTAATATATCATTCACTGTTCTGGTTAATGTTGAATCATAACTTCCACGAATGAATGAGTATGTATTGATTGGTTCTGTTGCATTCTTGCGAACTCTTGAATCAGCCATAACTACTAAAGAACGCTTTGAATCATCCATAGAAGTCATTATGTCAATATCATAATCATTGCAGGAATAACATTTAATCATTCTGTTCGAAACTGCATAGAAGAAATTAGTGTTGCAATAAATGTGAAGACCTCCTGAAGCGGTTTTAACGATAACATCTTTATCCGAAAGTTTTGATAAAATATCTTTTCTAACTGTTTCTTTAAGTTCATCATTGTATGATTTATTGATATCAACATCTATAATCGTTAAATTTGAAATTTTATTTACTAATAAAGCCATACCAGTTTTCCTTCCTCTTCCTCCATCATGTTTGAGGTAGTTATGTAAATCAATCATGTTTTCACCAATTCTTTCATTGAGGGTTTTAGTTTCTGCCATAACTAATTCCTCAGCTAATTCCTCAACTAATGAATCAATAACTTTTTCATCAGAAACGATATAGTTGCTGTTGTTGTTTGTTGCCGTCATTTATATAAAAATAAAAAAATAAAAATAATTTTAAAACTAACTTTATTTTTGGACTGCATCATATTTCCGTCACTGTTGTCAAAATGTCATGTTGTCTCATTTTTTCAGAGAAGTTAAATTACCTGGTGACCTGGTGACCCGGTGACCCTATCAGTTATTCAAAAATAATTAATAAATGAATAACCTGAAAACATTAACGTAAACATTAACGATAAACATTAACGTAACCATTAACGTAAACATTAACGATAAACATTTATTTCCAGGACTGTTGTCAAAATGTCATGTTGTCTCATTTTTTCAGAGAAGTTAAATTACCTGGTGACCCGGTGACTTCATCAGTTATTCAAAAATAATTAATAAATACCATCCTCCTTTCATACCTGTTGTCAAAATGTCATGTTGTCTCATTTTTTCAGAGAAGTTAAATTACCTGGTGACCTGGTGACCCGGTGACCCTATCAGTTATTCAAAAATAATTAATAAATGAATAACCTGAAAACATTAACGTAAACATTAACGATAAACATTAACGTAACCATTAACGTAAACATTAACGATAAACATTTATTTCCAGGACTGTTGTCAAAATGTCATGTTGTCTCATTTTTTCAGAGAAGTTAAATTACCTGGTGACCCGGTGACTTCATCAGTTATTCAAAAATAATTAATAAATACCATCCTCCTTTCATACCTGTTGTCAAAATGTCATGTTGTCTCATTTTTTCAGAGAAGTTAAATTACCTGGTGACCTGGTGACCCGGTGACCCTATCAGTTATTCAAAAATAATTAATAAATGAATAACCTGAAAACATTAACGTAAACATTAACGATAAACATTTATTTCCAGGACTGTTGTCAAAATGTCATATTGTCTCATTTTTTCAGAAAAGTTAAATTACCTGGTAGCAGTGAAATAAAATTTTGTTATCAGTTATTTTATCATCGTTTTATTAAGTTCATCTTTAGTTAATAATTTGAATGGATTCGCTAATGTTCCACCTTGAGTCACAACACCTGCCCTGGCTAATTGTGAAGAACCTGGGATAAGTACTCCACGAAATGATTTCATTGGTATCATTAATTTAGAAATAGTTGGCTTAATTAATTTTGTCATTTATGATAAAAATAAAATTGCATAATTTAAATTTTTCTTTTCATTTTCTCATTTTTCATCCTGTTTTGGTTTCAGCAACTTTTCAAGTTGTTGTCTTGTCAGTAACTTTAATTTTAACTTTGGATCAAATATTGGGTTTCCATCTTTATCTCTTCCAATAACACCATATGGTAGAATCTTCATTTATACTAAAATAAAAATTTAAATTATGCTGTTCGCTCTTTTGGAGCTCAGGACTTTCAGTCCGTTCTAAAGTTTGTTTTACAAACATTGAGCGTTCATTGAACTCTATACCATGCGTAAACTGTCATGTAAGGTGGCATGTATTCTTTACTTTGTCCCGTTGTTTGTGTATATCCTGAAACGAAATGTGTATGGTTTCCCTCTCCCTGAGTGTCACTCCAGTAACAATTTATAGCAAACTTAACGTCGTCTTTAACATCATATCCTTTACCTTTTGTCATTCCTGACCAATCCCAATATCTATGCTTATGCCAACCTGCCTGAGATGTACTTAAATCTATGTAGTGACTGTGTGCAGGTAAATTTTCACCTGAAATCGTTTTACTTCCACCTGTTTCCTTTGAAGAGTTTGCACAATACAAAAACCTGTCTACAATCTGTTCCCATGCACCAACACCAAACATTACTTGAGGACCTCTTGCATCCATAGATGTATAAATAGAACCTACTGGGTTCATTAAATCAAACATATGAGATAATATAGGATTGTCTATTTTGAACTTAAAATATAGTGCAACTATTTCGGGTTTCTTCTGGTTTGTGTCAGAATATTTTTTATAATATAATCTTATGTTTTCAGGGTAGGTAAAATCTTGACTATAATATTTATTTTTGTCATCTGTATAATAATATACTATTCTCGTTTTTTCTATTGCATTATATCTTTTATATCTATAATAATCTAAATATAATGTTAGCTTTTGTTCATCTACATGTGGTGTTCTGTCGTCATCTCCATAGTCATAATAATATGGTGCTGGAGCTTGGTGAGGCAATGTCATATCTGTCATTTCATAAACTCTTAAATATTTCTTTTGTTCGTCTCCATATAAGTTTAAGTAGCAGTTGTTGTCTAATGGAACTTTAACTTGTGTACCATCATTCTTTATATAGCTTACATACATTTCATTGTTATTTTTCGGAATGAGTTTACATCGTATACCATTTTTTAAGGACTGTACCAATTGCCATCTAAAATATTTATTTTCTTCATTGACAGAAAAGTCACCAACAATAGTTTCAATATTTTTAGTTGTTCCTATCAAACTTTGGTATATTTCGTTGACATATTCATTATCTGCCTTCTTCTCTAACTCATCATTAACATAAGTTTTATCTGCTTTAAGGTCTAAACATCCTGAAACCCATTCTGTATCAGCTTTAACTTTAAAAGTCTCCAATGTCCATTCATGATACCATTCAACCTTTTCTTTAATTTCATTATCTTTTTCATCAACATAAACCAAATTTGCCTTCTTCATTAATTCACCGTTGACATATTCATTATCTGCCTTCTTCTCTATGTCATTAAGGAAACCTTTTATGAATTCCTCATTTAAATTAAATCTTCCAATCTTCAAAACTTTAGGAAATGCATTTAATGCGTAATATCTTTGTTCTTCTGGTGGAATTGATATTATATCATCCGTTATACCTTTAATTTTTGAATTCATAAATAAAATTTCTTTTATATTTGATATCACTGCACCACCTTTGCAAACGAATTCGAAATGGTCATTTTTCAATACTATCTCCAAATCTCCATATTTCAACCTTTGTGTTTGTTCTGCTGTCTTTGAATTATATGCATATATGGCGTATGTAATGGTCTGAAGGACCTGGGTGCTTTGCGCCTTAAGTTGCTGTGGTTGCTGTTGTTTAATCATTTATTATGATTTAAAAATAAATATTTAATCCGTTATCTCATCAGCTATTTTTTCTATTTGAAATTGCCATAATATTTCATTCATAAATTCTAAATCACAATCAAATAGGTCAGTTATTCTAAATTTAATATTTGATAAATCTTTTGAATGAAGAATAAATGAATTCCCGGATAATTGAAACGGATATGATAAAGAAAATGTGTTTAAGTTGATGGATAAAATGTTTTGTATTGATGGGTAAGAGTTAGGGTCTAATGTTTGATGTGAAAATCTCATTGGGGTATTAACTTTATCACATTTGATTAAAATGAAATTGGAACCGGTGTCAGAATACAAAACATCCCAACATCTTTTTCAAAATTTAATATCCCCAACAATGAACGAAGATGAGGAGTACAAAATTTAATTTTCAGCGGGAAATTTAATAAGGTTATTTATTTCATCAAGTTCAAAAAGTTTATCAGGTTTTGATTTAAAATTTTCTTCATACCATACGATAAATGATTCATTTAAATAACTTAAAATCGTGTTAATATCCCATTTCGCTATCACATTATTTATATACATATCATACGTTTTTTCATGGTCATCTTTAATAAATGATATATAATCTGAAGGGTCTAAAAGAATGGGATTAAATTTACCACTCACAGAAACGAGAGTAACATTATAAATTCCGCTAACTGTTAAATTTAATTCACAGTTATTATTCGAAATAATATTGATAATTGACATTTTTATTACGATTAAAAATATGGTAAAGCGTTATTTTCCAGTGATAAATAAAACTAGAATAAGATTACCTCAAGAATTCATAAATTCAACGAATAAGAAATTCATTCATGTTATAAATTTTAGTGTTTTCAGAAAATATGAGTCGATGTCATATTCATCAACAGGTTATATTTCACTTCATTCAAATTTAGTTCAATCAAACCCATATAATGACCATTTCATAAGATTTTCAGATGGTATTAAAAATGTAATTGATAGATTAAAATATGAACAGATTGACAATATCGAATTTTTGGAAATTTTGGTTTAAATATCCCGATGGAAAAAAGATTGAAGTTAAAGATAAAGCTGATACTATAACAAAAACAATTACAATGACCGATCCGGATAGTGGGGAACAAAAAGAAATAAAACAAACGATAGAAACTGGTGAAAGGTCAATTATTATTGATTATGATTCAAAGGATTATTATTCGATAATGTTAATGCTTGAATATTAAATGGCCTTAACAAAGAATTTTTCAAGTGATATTTTATATTCATCAACTATTTTATTATAAATATCATTATATGTTAAATGAAGTTCAGTTGTTGTTCCATTCTTTGATATCTTAATTGTGCTAATATCCTTTATGGATTTATTTTTGCAACTGTTCCGCAGCATGAAACCTCATCATCTATGAAAAATTGAATCTTAACGTCTGAATCTTGAACATCACAAAGAATGGCGATAATGTGAATTAATGATTCATAAGGTAAAATAATTAAACCGATTGATCAATTAAATTTATTATTGAATCATAATTATTAATTATTATATCACGGTAAATTTTCATTAATTCAGAATTAATGTCTATTTTATATGGGTTCTCGATGTTTGATGAAAGAGGTGGGGGTATGTTGGATAAGTGGGAATCTCAACAGGTTCTTTACCGGGTTCGGATAAAATGATTGGGTCTCCATTCTCATGGTTTTCTTCATTCTCCTCCTCCTCCTTTTTCGGTAAGTCACGAGTTAATAAATTTGGTTGAGTTGCTGACCTCGTTAATTCGGGGCTAACATTAACTTTAACATTTTGAATAATTCGTGATTTATCATCATTTACGTTATAACCAACCGTAATCTCTGCTTTTGCGTTAGTGTTCTTTTGACTAGTGAAACGTCTTCTCATTTATAATCGAATAAAAAAATATATTTAAACTTTTATTTTGCTGGAACTTTTGAATCTATTATTCCCTGTATTTGTTCATGAAGTTGATTTTTAGCTGTTTCATTGTAATTAATAGACCTAATATATTCATTAATTGCATTCTTATAATCATCTGATTTCTCAAATTTTCTTTTATCTGATTCCTTAACTAAATCATAAGTTAAACCTCGTTGCTGATATAATGGTTTCTTAATTAAATCTTTGAATGCTTGAGATAAAGCACCCGATGTAATTCTTGCTACTATAATTGGTTGGAATTGTTGTTTAAGTTCATCTTTAACATTTGCGAAAACTGGATCGAATAAAGCAACTTTAAAGAATTTCTTAGCTGAAATTTCAGGTCTAATATTTGCATATTGACCATCAAACTGGTTAGAATATCGTGGTAATCCATCCGGTCCCTCTTCAATAGCATTTAATTCTTCATTGAAATAAGAATATGGATTATGACGGTATGAATTAATTGGACCATTTTCACCTTCTCCAATGTATTGTTTAACAGCTTTTCCATTTTCATCAAATTGCATAGGATAACGTTCATTATATGCTTTACGTTTAGGATAATCAGACATAGTTAATTTATAACCATTTATGACTTTAATATTTCCTTGACCATCAGTAACGAAAACTTCATTTATACCATCAGGTTTTCCATTTGGACCCGTAATGTCTGCTTCGTGTGCTTCCCAATTTGGACCATGACGTTTGGCATATGCTTGAGCTTCTGGTAATGTTAAAACGTTTCTCATTTGTTTAACATCTTTTTGAAGACCAGCAACAATATGAACTAATTCTTTCATTCCATCAGGAACTTTCATAGTTCTATTATATGCACCCCTTTTGTTTGTTCCTTGTTTTAATGGAACTTGTAGAAGATTTGCTATTTCTGTCATGTTTAATTATAAATAAAAAATAAAAATTAATTATAAAAAGTTAATCAAATTTAACACTTCCTTTATTTAAATCAACTATTATTTTTCCATGTTCACCTAATTGCTGATATTGTGTGTAAAGTTCATTAATGCTCATTGGTAAATTCACTTGATAAAGCATAACGTTCAACTGTTGACGACTAAACCCACTGAAAATGAAAAGTGTTGATAGATTTGATTTAATGTTTGTGCTTAATGCTTTGAAATATTGAACAGCCATAAAGAATGAACACTGAATGTGTCGACATTGAGTTAATAACTGATTAAAATATGATTTCTCATTTGTTATTAGTTTTGATTTCACTGCATCATCTAAAAAAATGAGTGAATGCAAAAATTCTTTATCAAAATTTGAAATAGAAAGTGTTTCAAATAATTCATCCCGTTGTTTATCAATAATTTTATCCTCTAATCCTTGCTTCTTGATTGTATTATATAATTCTTTATACATTAAAAAGTTTTTTAAATAATCTTCTGCTTCTTCTTGTGATAAATAAATAATTGGAATTTTGATTAAATGCTTTAAAGATTCAAATGTATCATCTGAAGGTGAACCTGAACGGTTGATATAAATTAACACGTGTGAATAGGGGGAAGTGTTAGCAATAATGATAATTTGTTTTAATATCGTTAATGTTTTACCTTTATTTTGTTTACCAATTGCTGCAGTGATTGAATTTAAGTAACATTCAGAATATGGAATTTTCATTAATTTTTCCTTAGATAGAGCATTTCTATTATCACTCAATGCTTCATTAATCATATCATCTATGTATGTATTATATACTCCTGCTAATTCTTCATAAGGAGTGTATGAATTTAAATCCATTTAATCAAAAATAAATTTATAATTTTAAACATTTCTATTCATCAATATTTCATCATATGAACTTCTATACTGTGGTGGTGTACCTGTTGGATGATATTTCAAACCTTCATCCGGTGTCCATGTCCAATATGTAGTCCTAGTAAACCAAACCTGAGGAGGATTTATCACCTTTGAACAGTAAGTGTCATTTTCACCCTGAATGATTGGATAAGCTTTCACTTGTACTGTAACTTGTGAGTTGAAAGTTTCTAATCCATCAAAGAATATACCCGCTCCATCACGTTGAACTGGAATAGTGCATAAGAATGAAGTTTGGTCTTTCCATGTTCTAGCTAATGGCTTGCCATTATCATCATTCAGTGGTCTAGTTAATGAGTCCTCGTATTCTTCCGTGCATTCATTCACTCCATCTAAATCAGAAGCTTGAAGCATACGTGTAAAGAATATGTCGCCCACTGTGGTCATCGCTTGATCAGGGAAGTTTCTGGAATCTATAGTGACCTGAAGACCTCGAAGCATTGGATTTTCTAAAACTGTTCTTTGCATTGCATTCTTCGGAAATGTTAACACAACATCTGTAACATTATGAAGAGCGTATGAGAAATCTGAGCTAATACCTTCAGGAGTGATGCAACCTCCATTTAGTGAACGAACGTCAATATGTTGAGCTGGAATCATGAATGGATCTTCCTTACTAAATAAACGTGGTATTGCTTTAACTGATTCTTCAATTAAACCATATCCAGGTGTAATGCATTTATCCTCTAAAACTTCCATCTTTGTGCATGAAATAATAACGTCATCAACTGTTGCGTCAGCAGATGTAGCGGATAAGCTTGTAATTAATTTGGTAGGAAGTCCGATTTGTTGGAATTTGCGATCATATTTATAAACATGATTCATAATCTTTTCATAATTTTCATCAGTTATCTTTTCATAAACGTAATTTTGTAAATCAGCAACTCTTAACGGGTCAACCTGACAAAATACTAAAGTATCCCTGAAAACATAATATTTAAGAATGATATCACCAAATGATTTAGGATAATCATCGAACGCCTGAAATGCTAACAAATCATTTACCGGAATAATCATATCAAAAGTGACATCAACTTCTTCATTTGCTTTAGTGAAAACTTCAGAAGGGTCAATATATTTACCACATACTGAGTTATCATATTTTTGAACATTATTATATAACGAATGAACAAACTTTTTAACTTTCCTTTCTGATTTTGGTTTATATGTTGCAAATGCGAAAGATTCACGGGCGCAATCCATCTGAAGATAACCGGCATCACCTCTTTCGGTTTCTACTTCTAATTGTTTAAAGCTTTGATTTGATGATTTGTAACCAACGAATAAACGCATGCATTTAAAAGCGGCATCACATGTGAAAGCTTTATTTGAAACTAGAGTTACTTTAACTTTGCGTTTAATATATGTGTCACCTAATTGGTTCACATCATGAGCTGGATTTGTAATTCTTAAATGAGTTTGTTTATCATCAAAATATGGAGCATCAGAGTCATAGCATGAACTTTCAAGTTCTCTATAATATCTTCTACCGTCATTCTTTGCAAATATTTCATTTATCTTTTCGAATGAATGAAACACATTTCCATTAATCGGTTTGGTGTTTGGCACCAAATAGTTAGTCGTCATTTATTAATAAATAAAAATCAAAATTAAAAAGATGGAAATGAATTTTTAATTTTAATGAAATAATCAACTATGGCTGCAGGTATATTTAAGAAACTGTGGGATAGAGTAAAAAGAGGAGCGAGTAAAGTTTGGGAAACATTGAAGAAGGAGCAAATTGGATATTTAAGAATAAAGAAGCAATTAGTGACGTTGCTGAATCAATAACGCCAAAAGCTGCCCCAATAAGAGAAATTTTAAATAAAGGAGAAAAAGTTTATCAAAGACTACAACCGATACTAAGATAAAAATAATTTTAAAATAATTTATTTTTCCACTATCTACCTCCTATTTTATTAAGTATTCCTTCAGCTATTCCACCAATTGCGTTACCTGCTTGTGCTCCCATCGCCGGATTACCTGCTTTAGTACCTAATACTCCACCTATGATAGTTCCTGCCGTTTTCGCTACTGGTGCCAAAAAGTTTGCAACGGGTTTAATAATCTTTTGATGAACCCAACCCGCAGCTTTCTTAATTCCTTCCCATAATTTTTTAAAGAATCCTGCCGCCATTTCTGATTTAATATTAATTAAAAAATATATTTCATCACTTATATTCTAATTTTTATTTAATGATAAATGAAACCGATTTTAAAAATAAATGAAACAGAGGAGGAAGAAATAAATGAAAGTGAAAATGTTCAACAAAAAATAAACGTTGTTCAACCAATTACTGAAATAAAAATTTTTTCATCTGTTGAAGAATTTAATGACTATTATGCTAATAATAAAAAATTATTTGAAGAATTGACAACGTGTAAATTGAATAAAATGTTTAAAGTTGATGGATTCAAAATTTCAAAAATAAAAGGGGTGGTTAGTTTGAAATCTATTCCTCAATCAAGAATCACCTCATTAATGAAAATTTATGATTTAACAAAAAGAATAGAAGAGATTGAAGAAAGAATGAATCAAATAATTGATTTCATAAATTCAAATAATCATTAGTTTCTTAAAGTTCAATGTTGAACTCATCAAATTCTTCTTCATCATTACCATTACCTTTAGCGAGTTTATTTACTCTTTCAACTTTATCTTTTGATAGTCTTTCGTTTAATTTTTTCTGAAGTTTTTCGTTACCAAGTTCTAAAATTTTACATGGATGATATTTAAACCCGTTAAATTCTTTTTCCTCAGTTTTAATCATTAATCTACAAAGAACTTTAGTGAGGTGGTTTTGTTGTTTAAACCATTTATCCTTAATATTTGTTATAAATTCAATATCCGGAATTAATTCCCAAATTTTTGAATTTTCGATTAATTTACCATCAAATGCAAAAGCAATAGGTTTAATATTAAACTTACCTTTATAAAATAAACTTTGTATGCAATCGTCAAAATAAACGTCTACTTGTTTAACCTGGGTGAGAATTGGTGAAAGTTTATTCATTAATTGATTTACAGTCACGAATTTTGATTCACTCATTTCATACAAAATAAAAAATAAATTATTCAAAAATGTAAGACATGAATTTTTAAAGTTTATTTTTTATTCATGAAAATAATTATTTCTAATTTATTTTACTCTCTCGTATATACTAGATTTAAAGAATTCAGAACTTTTACCATAATCTCCTAAATGTTTTCTTATCCCTAACGTGTGCCAGTTATTATATGAAACTGAATAAACTTTATCTTTATCTTTACACCTTTCATCACTTCCAATATATTTATATCTCAGTTTTGATTTAGCATTTTCATATTCATTAGCGTTTAATAATTCACAGTCTTCCTTTTTAAATTGATGTTTAAGATATTCAGGATTTAATACTCTACGTTTATATGCTCCTAACTTAGTTCTAAAGGTTTTTCTACAAAATTTAGGAATTCCATCCTCTTTAATGTCATCAATGATTTCCATTTCATTATTTTCAATTTCTTCTTCTCGTTTATGAGGTCTTTGATTATGACTCCATTGATTCCATGAAATTAAATATTCTTTATCATTATATTTATACCTCATTAGCTTATTTTGGCTTTCATATTCATTTAATAATTCACAATCTTCATTTTTAAATTGAAGTTTAACCCATTCAGGATTTAAACAATGTTTAATTAATCGCGGAATATCTGACATCATCTATATATAGCTTCTTTTATAAAAGATAA